CCAAAGTCCTCGGATTATAGGCATGAGCCACTATGACTGGCCTAATTTGATGGGTTGTATTGGTTATATATACTTCACCTATATGTCAACCAAAATCAAGATAGCTGGGCCAGTTCATATCAGTCCTCCATCCTGGTCCCCGGCAGCCACTGGTCTGGCTTCTCTCTCTAGAGTTTTCCCTTTCCCTGATGTCGCAGAAATGGTGTTGTGTAGTATGATTCTTCTTTTCTTTTTTTTACTTGGGTTAGTGCTTCTGAAGCTCACCCGTTGTTGTGGCGTTTATCCATGGTCGGTTCTTTTTGATTGCCAAGTAGCATGCCATTGTGTGGATATGTGTGGCAATTCATTTATCTGTTGATGAATATTTGAGTTTCCGCCTATCAGATATGGACATATCATTCCATGTTTGTTTTTGGTGAACATTCAGGCAAGTCACGCTCTTAAAGCCTTCCCAGCCTTTGCACAGGCTGTGTCTTCTGCCAGGCACTCCTCCACTGTCTTCTTTTCCTAGGAAAGCCCAGCTCATTTTAAAATTCCCAGCTCAGATGTCCCCTCCTCCAGGCAGCCTTCCTGGGCTCAAAGGGTCTATTTTGCCAGATGGGAAGGAGTGGTGTCCAACAAAGGCTCACCTTGGCATTCTGTCCCAACTTTGTGTTCCAGGGCCATGATCTTTGACCTTGGGGGTGGTGGGGACAGAATCACAGAATCAGCCATGTTAGGCAAAAGGCCACAGTGTCCCCACCACTGTTATCTAATCAGCTGCCTGGTCTAGTGTGGTGGAAAAAAGTCATCCTGCTGATCAAAAGCAGGGCAGAGTCCATCCCTTAACCCAGGTGGAGGTGGGGCAGAGAAGGAAGGGTCACTTAGTGACTGCAGGGCTGACCCTCCGGTACCCGGGGTCTTCAGACCTTGTTCTAAGCACTTTACCTCCATGGACTCGTTCAAACCTCACAGCAGCCCACGAGGCGACACTCTCCTTATGCCCGTTGTATGGTTGAGGAAACTGAGGCTGGGAGAAGGTCAGTGACCCACCCCTGGTCACCCAGTTGGACAGGGCTGCGCTGGATCTCTGAAGATTCCCTTTGGGTAGTGTTGAATGAATGGACTGAAACCCAGGGCCCGAAAGCCTCTTCTGTTGGAGACACACAGAGAGACAGAGAGACATGGACACGCGGCCAGATCCCAGGAATTCTTGGTTTAGCCCTGATTCATCTTCAGAACGAGGCCGAGCAGGCCAGGGGAGGAGGAAAGCATGGTGAGATTCCAAAGGAGAAAGGCATCTCCAGCCCAGCAGACTCTGCTGAGAAACCGGGTGGGAGAGGAAGGCCGCAAAGGGAAATTGAGGCTGTGTGTGTGTGTGTGTGTGTGTGATGGAGTCTTGCTCTGTCGCCCAGGCTGGACTGCAGTGGTGTGATCACAGATCACTGCAAGCTCTGCTTCCTGGGCTTAAGTCATCCTCCACCTCAGCCTCCCAAGCAGCTGGGACTATAGGCACCTGCCATCATGGATGACTGATTTTTGTGTTTTTTGTAGAGATGGGGTCTCCATGCTCAGGCTGGTCTTGAACTCCTGGGCTCAAGTGATCTGCCTGCCTTGGCCCCTCGAAGTGCTGGGATTACAGGTGTGAGCCACCGCACTGGGCCTTGTTTTGCTTTTTTAAAAAAGCAGTTTTACTAAGGTGTGATTGATATAAAACAATGGCACATGTTTAATGTATGCAGTTTGATGGGCTGGTGTGTGCACACCGGGAAACCCGCCCCTGAGATGCAGGTGCTGAACACACCTGTCACCGCTACGGTTCCCTCCTGCCCCCCACTGTTTTCTGTGGTGAGAACATACAGTTCGCGCTCTACTCCCTGAACACATTTTCCAGGGTTCTGGGTTTTGATGCTGTGTTTTCTATGGAGGGAGCACCAGCAGCTGGATGTGTCCCCTAGGCTGGAGACGGGGCCTGGCCTGTGGTGAGCAGGGTCCCCAGGGCTGCAGGGTCTGTCCCAGACAGAGGGACCTGCAGTGCACGGGCTTGGAGGCTGGGTGAAGGCCAGGACTGAAGGAAGGGCTGGGTGATCGGGGCCTGAGAGTTGGGAGGGGCTGGAGCTGGTGCCTGTGAGCTATGGTCGCATGGGGTGGCGGGAGCTGCCATGGGGTGGGGAGGGTGTTACTGAGGGGGCAGGACTGCTCTTTGACCCAGCTCACATACCACTTCCTCCAGGAAGACCTCCCGGACTCCTCAGTGCCCTCCAACTATTGGTTGTATCTCTCTCCAGCCTTAGTTGTGCCTCAGTTTCCTAATCTGTAACATGGGAGTAATAATAGTGGAGGTGGCTGCCTCAAAGAGTCATGGTGCTGTTAAGAGGATGAGAACACAGTGAACAGCATCACCAGGTGTGTAGCGCACCCCGGAAATGCTTGCTTCTGTTACTTCTTTAATATTGAGTTTATGCGCCTTCGTTTACACCTATGGGCTGTTCAGGTTATAAGATGCTCCTTCTGGTGCTCGCAGCTGGGTAGGAAGACGCATTTATCAATAAACAGTTATGGCACTTGAAGGCAAGTCTCTGATCTCCTGGTTTTTCCAAGAGAACTCTGAAATCCAGGTATTACATTACATCTTCCAGCTTCTTGACAATGAATTCAACTTCTTCATTTACACGCCACGTAGGTCAAACTAGACACAGTGTCACCAGCTCCATCGTACAGATGAGAAACTTGAGGTTCACAGGGGCTGACTTGCCCAAGTGGCCCCATGGAGTGCGACCCAGGGTCTGGCTGCCTCCAAATCTGCTCCTTCCAGGGGACGTGGGGCTGGCTCTACTGGCCAGCTCAGCTGTCTGCCTCCTATAGAGACTCCGCATATTGCTTCTGGCTGTCTGGGGACAATGGGGGTGGTTGTCCTCGTCTTAGAAGGCCATGTTCAAAAGAGGGTGGAAGGTGATGCAGCCGCCTGGCTGCCTGGCTTTGCAACATCAGCTCTAATCTGATGGGCTGGGTCACTCCTCCTGGGCTCTGACATGGTGTGGGCACTGAGGGGCTGGAGATCCTGGCTGGGTTGAGGGTGGGGATCAGGTGGACTGGGGGGGACCTCCCTGTGACACTGGAGCAGCGTATTATAGATCTAGAGGAGCAAAGCTGGGAGAGGAGTCCAAGCAGACCCCAGGCATGTTTCCTATAGTCCCTTTAAGAAAATCATGTTTTTGCAAAGTTTTTAAATCAGGAGATTTCGTATATATTTCTGTATTTCTGGTTTTCATGGAAAACTTCTGTGTTCTCATCTTCCTCTGACTCCTCCCTGAATGGCTCACTCAGCCGCAAAGGCAGGCTCTCTCCCAGCATCTCCCTACCACAGGGCATTTGCACAGGCTGTGGCTGCTGTGGAATGCCCCCTAACCCCCACCTTCTAGACTCATGAGCTCCCTTCCTCACTACCTTCTGTTGGGTGTAAGTTGTGTTTGCATGTGTTCCCCTTCCTTTCCTTCCTTCCTTCCTTCCTTCCTTCCTTCCTTCCTTCCTTCCTTCCCTCCTTCCCTCCTTCCCTCCTTCCCTCCTTCTCTTTCTCCTTTTTCTCCTTCTCCTTCTTTTTGAGACAGGGTATTTCTCAGACATCCAGGCTGGAGTACAGTCCTGCCATCACAGCTCACTGCAACCTCAACCTCCTTGGCTCAAGTGACCCTCCCACCTCAGCCTCCCAAGTAGCTGGGACTATAGGTGTGCAGCACCATGCCCAGCTAATTTTTAAAAAATTATTTTTTATAGGCTGGGCAAGGTGGCTCATGCCTTTAATCCCAGCACTTTGAGAGGCCGAGGCAGGCGGATCACTTGAGGTCAGGAGACCATCCTGGCTAACATGGTGAAACCTCACCTCTACTAAAAAAAAAAAAAAAAATTAGCCAGGTATGGTGGTGGCAACTTGTAGTCCCAGCTACTTGGGAGGCCAAGGGAGGAGAATTGCTTGAACCTGGGAGGCGAAGGTTTCAGTGAGCTGAGATTGCACCACTACACTCCAACCTGGGCAACAGAGTGAGACTCCCTCTCAAAAAATAAAATAAAATAAAAACAAATAAAAATACAAAAAGTAGCCAGGCGTGGTGGTGGGGACCTGTAGTCCCAGCTACCCAGGAGGCTGAGGCAGGAGAATCACTTGAACCCAGAGGTGGAGGTTGCAGTGAGCCAAGATCATGCCACTGCACTCCAGCCTGAGCAACAGAGTGAGACTCCATCTCAAAAAAAAAAGAAATAAAAATAAATAAATAAATAAAATTATTCTTTATAGAGATAGGGTCTTGCTATGTTGCCCAGGCTGGTCTCAAACTCCTGGGCTCCAGAGATCCTCCTACCTCGACCTTCCAAAGTTCTGGGATTACAGGCATGAGCCACGGCACCTGGCCTACATTTCACTTACGTGATGACTCTGTCTCAAATCCTGACCTTTCCCCAGTCCCTGCTGTGTTTTCTCTGTGCTCTGTCACGTAGCATGCATTTTACCTGAGTTGTTTGGTGCCTCCCTTTCCCCCGCTACAGAGCTGAGCTTTAGGTCTGTCCTGGTTGCTCTCCCATCCCCAGCTCTTAGAACCTGCCTGGCACGTGGTAGTGCTCAGTGCGTGCTTGTTGAATGAATGAATGATTCACCTGGCCACATGGAGCCCATGTTCCTGCAGGGCACTATCCCTGCCCTGAGCCCATCCACTACCCTGAGCTCCGGCACCCCCTTTAGATGGTGCATAGGCCCCTGTTTACCACAGTCCCTTGACTGGTGTCACATATTGCTGTCATGACATATTTTAAGAAGCATTATGACAGCATGAATAGGTTGCCTGTTTAATTCCATAAGCTCCAGGTGCGACAGCCTCATGTGCGAAGGGCTTTCCCACCACCTCCTACCCCGAGCCACCGCCGAGGAGCCCCTTCCCTGGCAGGGCTCAGGCAGCTGTTCTGGAGCCTCGTGGTGGGGTGTGGGGCCCTCGTCACTCTCCTCACAGGCATGCTTGTCCCTTCCCCTGCAGAACGTGCGCATCGACCCCAGCAGCCTGTCCTTTAACATGTGGAAGGAGATCCCAATCCCCTTCTATCTCTCCGTCTACTTCTTTGACGTCATGAACCCCAGTGAGATCCTGAAGGGCGAGAAGCCGCAGGTGCAGGAGCGCGGGCCCTACGTGTACAGGTGAGGCTGTGTCCAGGTGAGGGCGGAGGGGCCGGCTGAGGCTGGGCAGGGGAGGGGTCTCAGAGTGGACGGGATGGGGAGGCTGCTGACTGAGCCCCAGAGGTTTTTCCGGAAGCAGGCAAGGCATACTCGGGGGAAGTGCTAGTCCCAGAGAAGTTTTAGTTTTAGTTTTTTTTTTTTTTTTTTGTAGAGATGGGATCTTGCTGTGTTGCCTAGGCTGGTTTTAAGTCCTGGGCTCAAGCGATCCTCTGCCTCAGCCTCTCAAAGTGCTGGGATTACAGGTGTGAGTCACCAGACCTTACCTAGAGAGGTTCTTTATGGAGCAGGGAGGGACCAATGGTGGGGGTCTGGCTGGAGGGTGCATATGTGAGAGACAGAGACACACACACGCACACATACATACATACACACACATATACACACATGCATATACACATACATATACAAACATACATACATACACACACACATACATACACACATACACATATACACACATACATACATGCATACACATACATACATATAAACACACATACATGCATACACACACATACATACACATAAATATACACACATACATACATACATACACATACACACACACGTGCACACACACACACACACAACCAGGAGCACACCTACCCCCCGCACCCTGTCTGGGCCAGAGGACCGGGTGAGTCAGCACGGGAAGGGGTCGGCTGTTTGTGGAACATGCTGGCCCAGGGACCACAGAGTGGTGCCTTTGCTTTCTGCTTGCCCTGTCCCTGGCTGTGGCCTAGGGGAAGTGACTTCACCCCTCTGAACCTCAGCTTGCCCGTCTGCAGGCTGGAGAGACACAAGAGCCCCTTCATGGGGTCATCGGGACTCTCAGGATGCATGTGGAGCTCTGAGACGGCGGGGGGATGTGCCTGTTACAACGCCCTTACCTCCTGGAGTCTTCACAGCATCTCCCCTCCTCCACACCCCCGCTTCCCAGTTCACAGGCGGAGGAGTAGGGGCTCCAAGAGGAGAGCTGACTTGCTCCCGGCACGCGGTGTTCCAGGGATGGGGTGGGCAGAGGGTGTTCCCGCTGTTGGAGACCCACAGTTTGGTTCTAGGAAAGCCAAGATGAAAACCTAGCAAATGTGCCTGAGGTTTGGGAGTAGGAGACATGAGTCAGCTCCTGCATTCCGTTCACTCATTCACTCATTTGCTCTTTCATTTAACAAATGTTTATTGAGCACCTACTAGGTGTTGGCTGCCATTCTAAGCACAGGGGACCCAGCAGCGGACAGAATGGGTAAAAATGCCAAAGCTCTCTATACTCCTTCATTCTGTGAGCACTGATTGAGCACCTTCTGTGTGCTGGGGGTGCAGGCAGACCAAGGCCCTGCCTCACCAAGCTGACATTCTGATGGGGAGAGAGTAAAGAAGTGGACAAATAAGGGGAAATCAGGCAGCCATCAGTGTTGTGCAGACAAAACAGTGTGAAGCCGGAGTGCAGAAGGGAGGGTGGCCGTGGGACTCGGTCTGACTGGAGGGTCGGGAGCACCTCTGCAAAGGGACACTCACTGGACCCGCATGGTGGGAAGAGGCCCTGGGGAGAGAGAGTCCCAGCCAGAGCATGTCCAGAGGTCTGAAGGCTGGAAACAGAGCCTGTGCGGCTGGGGTTACGAGGGAGGGAGACAGTGGAGAGACGAGGCCTGAGCCTTGCTGAGATCCTCAGAGGTCACATTAGGAGCCTGATTTTAACCTGCATGCAAAGTGGGGTTGTGGTCCAGAGCGTGGCACGATCTGATTTCCACTTTTTTTTTTTGAGATGGAGTCTCTCTCTCACCCAGGTTGGAGTGCAGTGGCGCGGTCTCGGCTCACTGCAACCTCCGCCCCCCAGGTTCAAGCGATTCTCCTGCCTCAGCCTCCCGAGTAACTGGGATTACAGGCATCTGCCACCATGCCCAGCTAATTTTTGTACTTTTTTTTTTTGAGACGGAGTCTTGCTCTGTCGCCCAGGCTGGAGTGCAGTGGCCGGATCTCAGCTCACTGCAAGCTTCGCCTCCCGGGTTTACACCATTCTCCTGCCTCAGCCTCCCGAGTATCTGGGACTACAGGCGCCCGCCACCTCGCCTGCCTAGTTTTCTGTATTTTTTAGTAGAGACGGAGTTTCACTGTGTTAGCCAGGATGGTCTCGATCTCCTGACCTCGTGATCTGCCTGTCTCAGCCTCCCAAAGTGCTGGGATTACAGGCTTGAGCCACTGCGCCCGGCCATTTTTGTATTTTTAGTAGAGACAGGGTTTCACCATGTTGGCCAGGCTGGTCTTGAACTCCTGACATCAGGTGATCCGCCCACCTCGGCCTCCCAAAGTGCTGGGATTTTAGGCATGAGCCACCACTCCCGACCTGATTTCCATTTTTCAAAGATTCTTCTGGATGGTGGAGAATGGCTTGGAGAGATGAGAGATCATAATGACAGCAGCAGTAACAGTCACGGCAGTCAATGTTTACCTCGTGCTTTCTCTGCGCCCGGCGGCTGTGTTGATTGCTTTCTGGGTATCTGATTGCTTTACTGTGGGGACTGTTTAATCCCCACAGCTGCCCCCTGAAGTAGGGCTTGTGATTACTTCCTTCTGTATATGGAGAGGCAATGGCCGTGTTGGGTGAGGGAGAGCAGAATGAGGCCGGCTGGGTGGCAACACCATGTCCTGCAGTGAGCAGGCGCAGGGAGGGACAGATTTGGCGGAGGGGCCGAGCTCAGCTTTGGCTGTGGGGCTGGAGGTGTGCACAGACATCCAGGGCCCCTGCTTCCCAGGCAGGCATTGCAGGCGAGTACAAGGGAAACATCCCACATAGCAGGGCGAGGCGTCTGACCCACCGGCTTCCCCCACAGGGAGTTCAGGCACAAGACCAACATCACCTTCAACAACAATGACACCGTGTCCTTCCTCGAGTACCGCACCTTCCAGTTCGAGCCCTCCAAGTCCCAAGGCTCGGAGAGTGACTACATCGTCATGCCCAACATCCTGGTCTTGGTGAGGCTGCCCTGTGGCCCACGCCACCTCGCACCCTGGCCTCGTCCCCTGTCTCTCCTCCCGCCTGCCCCTTGTGCAGAGAGCAGTCCCTGAGGTGGTCGGAGCGTGAGGACTCACGCCTGGTGGGTGGCTCTCAGCCCTGTGCTGTCTCCACCACCCTCCGTGGGTTCTCAGTTTCCCAGGTGGGTCCACCTGTCTTGGTTTGGAAGTCCTGGCCAAAGTATTTTTTTTTCCTTTTCAATTTACATTTCTGAGATCTCCAAAAGGGGCTGTGTTGTTGGGGGCTCAGCCACAGGCCCACCTCTGGGACTGGGGCTGGAGTTCACTCAGCCTGAGTCCAGTGGGGTGCAAGAGGGAGAAGGCGTCCTTGGGAGCACATGTGGTCTTGGCACTGGAGGAGCAGAGGGTGGTTCTGGTGACCCGGATGCCCCACGTGGCCACTCCAGGGGCCTCCTGCACCCCAGCATTTCCCTTCATGAGCTCTTTGCCATGAGGCCCAGCTGGGGCCGATGGAGGATGGGCCAGCCACCTCCAGTCTCTGACACTAGTGTCCCTTCGCCTTGCAGGGTGCGGCAGTGATGATGGAGAATAAGCCCATGACCCTGAAGCTCATCATGACCTTGGCATTCACCACCCTCGGCGAACGTGCCTTCATGAACCGCACTGTAGGGGAGATCATGTGGGGCTACCAGGACCCCCTTGTGAACCTCATCAACAAGTACTTTCCAGGCATGTTCCCCTTCAAGGACAAGTTCGGATTATTTGCTGAGGTACGTGTGGCCTGGTGAGAAGCCAAAGATTCAGGCCTGTGTCCTGTCTTCCCCTCATACAGCCTGGACACTGGTTACCAGCTTGCTTTGTAGCTGGCTGGGGATCTAGCGGCTGTGGGTTGTAAGTGGCCGAGAACCTGACTCAAACTGGCTTAAGTGAAATGGGGAATGTTGGGGCTCATGGAACTGAAAATGCTAGGATTGGATTCAGGTACAGCTTGATCCAGGCTCAAATGATGTGATTGAGCCTTAGCTTAGCAAATTGGAGGCTTTGCCGGAAGAAGGGGGCATGGCTGCTTGGGAGTAAGATCACAAGCTGACTCTTAATCTTGACTCCTGGCAACCTGGTAGGGTCACTGATTGGGCTTTGGAGCCAACATCTCGTCCATGGAGGGTCTGACCCTGACCTTGGCTCCTTCACTGCAGGTTTCAATGAGTTCTTGGGACTGCTCCAGCGTCAGCCATCTCTCTGGTTTCTGTTGATCAGGGTAGAGTGCTGGGGGGGATATTGTGGTGCTACATGTGATAGATAGTATGTTTTTGTCAAGGGTGACGGGCTCCTGTTGTGTGGGTAAATTAGCAAGTTTGGGCTAAGTGGCATGATTCTGTAAAAACATCTTGTAAATCCTGAAGTGCTTTGCAAATGAAAGTTATTACCAAGTCCCTAGTTTAGTATAATCTACGTTTGACCACATATAATGAAAACCTCACAAGAACAGTCTAGCGGTAGGCTGTTCAGTGTTGGTGTGGTGGCTTTGTGGTCTTCAGTGATCTGGAAGCCTTCTACTCCTCTGCTCTGCCATCCTTGGCATGTGGTTTTCATTCTCAAGATAACCTCATCGTCCAACTTGGCTGCTAGAGTGTCAGCGATCACATCACATTCCAGGTAGCACAGCGGGAAGGAAGAATTGGTGGGGCTTTGGGGAGCAGATGGAGGAACTGGGGGTAAGACAGCATGTCCCAGCTATTGGCCAGAACTGAGTCACGTGGCCACACCTAGCTCCAGGGGAAGCTGGAAAGGTAGCCTTTTAGCTGGGTGTGCTGATACTCTGAGGACGGTTTGGGTTTTGTTATGAAGGAGTAAGGAGAGAGTGGGCTTTGGGTAGTAACTCGCAGTTTCTGATGCTCTCTGTCCATTATCATGATCATTTAGGGATCCTGTTGAGTGATGATTTATTAATAATAACAATAATAATGGAAATAAAGACCAGCATTTTGAGCTCTTACTGTGCCCGGGGCACCGTACCTGGCCCTTTTTGCACATGAGCCCCTTTAATTCTCCCCTATGTAGTGGCTCTGGTTATTCTTGGCTCCACATGGGCAGGTGACAGACACACATGGGAGGCTGGGCCAGGGACTTGTGCTGGGTCCTGCCCTGGAGGTCTGTGATGGGTGCAGCCACTTGGCCGGGCAACCTTGGAGCTCCTCAGTGTGCTTCACCCTGCAAAGCACCTCCAGATATTTCCTTTAGTCACTCAGACCATTTTGTGCTTTGCATGTCTTTGGGATTAGAAACCAGCTTCTGGGAAATGCTCTCGGAGCACCAAAGCCTGGGCCCCCATCAAGGAATGTTCCACAAACTGTGACGGTCAGGACAGGCCAGGTTGTGCTGCTGTGATAGGCAGTCCCAGAATCTCCATGACTTAGAACAACCAAGACTTACTCCTTTGCTTGCACTCCACGTCCAGTGTGGGTGACTAGGGCACCCTTGCTTGTGGTAGTCACTTGGGGACCCAGGCCGAGGGAGGCTGTCTTGACACACGCCTCCTTGGCTGCTATAGCAGTGGCAGAGAGCCTGGTGAAAGGCGTGTGCACAGTCCTTAAAGCGTCCCCCCAAGTGACATGCCACTTCTGCTTTTTCATTGCTCAGGGAGCTGACCTGGCCCCGTTTTATTTTATGCTGGAGTAGGGTATGGTGGGGGGTGATCTGCCATTCACCTGGGAGGAAAGCTAGGCTCTCCCAGAGTTAGGAAGGGAGGGTGGAACACTGCAGCCATAGAACCCGGGACCGTTCCTCCTAGAAAGCTCCCAAGCCTCCTCTCAGTCCCCAGACACTGGGCATGTGGCAGTGAACCAGATGCCGGGGGCCCTTTCCTTCTGGTGGAGGGGAGGAGGGCTCAGCCCAGAATGTTCAGACCAGGCGAGCTCAATGGTAGGCCTGAGCCTTAACGATGCTGTTCCCTGCTGTGTCTGCAGCTCAACAACTCCGACTCTGGGCTCTTCACGGTGTTTACGGGGGTCCAGAACATCAGCAGGATCCACCTCGTGGACAAGTGGAACGGGCTGAGCAAGGTGAGGGGTGAGAGGCGAGGGCCCCTGGAGAGGGGAGGGTGCGCCGGGCCGTGGCTGCTCGGGAATGGCAGGGACCACAGGGCTTCTTCTTCCTTTGTCATGAAGAGGGTGCTGGGAGGATGAACACTCTCAACGTTGGAGAAGGGATTTTACCTCTGGTTAAATGTTGACCAGCCAGAGGGGCAGGCGGGGCTAGTGACTTCTTACTGAGCACCTGGCGTCTGCTGGGAATGGAGTGCTTTCTTCCTTTCGGTTCTTTACTCACAAAAATGTTTTGAAAGCCGGGCGCCATGGCTCATGCCTGTAATCCCAGCACTTTGGGAGGCCAAGGTGGGCGGATCACCTGAGGTCAGGAGTTCGAGACCAGCCTGGCCAACATGACAAAACTCCGTCTCTACTAAAATACAAAAAATTAGCCGGGCTTGGTGGTACATGACTGTAATCTCAGCTACTCACGAGCTGAGGCAGGAGAATCGCTCGAACCCGGGAGGTGAAGGTTGCAGTGAGCCGAGATTGTGCCACTGCACTTCAGCCTCGGTGAGAAGAGTGAAACTCAGTCTCCAAAAAAAAAAAAAAGAAAAGAGATTCACATTACAAAATAATACGAGAGAGAGACAAGTGCCCTCAGTATCACCTCCCACCCCTACCCCTTGCCCCAGAGGAAACCCACAGTTACCAGTTTGGGATATATTCTTCCCATCTGTTTTTACCCATGTGCACATCTGTATGTACACAGAAATATGGAATTGTTTCTTCTTTGAACATCATGAAATCATACTACGTGCATTGTTTTGCAACTTGCTTTTTTCACCTTCGTAACCTTTTCTCAATATGCGTGAAAATGATTGAGCAATTTCCCACTACCTGCTCCCCGTGGTAGTTACTGCAAAGACCCTGAGGGCTGGGGACAAATCGTACCCCAACCAGTGCCCAGAGTGGCCAGAATCACCATCTGCAACCAGCAGTAGCCATTCGTGATAGATGGAGTTCACCTTCATTGTGGCTTGTATATTCCAATGTACCGTACATGTGCATGTGATTTGACACCTCCTCATCATGCGGAAGATTGGAAAGTGAGCAGTTGGACTTGTCGAGTCTGGGTCTCGCTCCCCAGAGGCAGTTAACCTGATGGGTTGTGTTTTGGGGTTGCCCGGTGGCGGCCACCGTTATGATTTGAAGTAGTTTGCCTGTGTGCCGATTGTTTTTTTTAGGAGGGGCCTGTTGACTTCCGCTCTGAGGGCTGAGCGCAGCCGCGCCCCACCTCTCACCCCACCTGCTCACCGCACTTCTTTCCAGATTGAGGCTGGAGATGTGGGTGATAGGCCTATTTTACAGATGAAAGAATTGAGTCCCCAGCAAAGTGACACATTCAGAGGTGTGGGAGTGGGAAGCTGTGGTAGGCATTCTGTCTGTCTGTCTACACAGCCTGCCAGCTTCCCACCGTGCCAGTATTGCGAATTGAGTGGCCATGTGTGCACCAGGGTGAGTTAGGTGTGCAGCACCTGAGAGGCCTTATTAAGGGGCCTTGGCCCCACTGAGGGGTCTGGTCTGGATGCTTCCCCCCAGGTTGACTTCTGGCATTCCGATCAGTGCAACATGATCAATGGAACTTCTGGGCAAATGTGGCCGCCCTTCATGACTCCTGAGTCCTCGCTGGAGTTCTACAGCCCTGAGGCCTGCCGGTAATCACTGGGACGCGGGGCCTCCTGGGTTTCCTGGGCAGCGCATGGGCAAATTCTGTGGTGCTGGCTGCGCACTTGGAAAGCATTTGACTCATTGTGGATTTGACTCAGTAGCCCTTGGCACCAGCTTGAATTCTCTTTGGCCACACCGCCAAGAGCCAAACTCCAGCTGCCAGTGCCTCTGCACGGCCCAGAGAGGGGCTGCTGCTGGTGGTTTGGAGTCAGGTGGTGCTGGGCTGGGAGGAGGGGGCAGGACATGTCAAGGTCAGAGGGGGCCATGAAATGGAGGCGAGAGGTGGGCTCCCCCTGGCATCTGGCTGGTGGCCCCCGTGACCATCTGGGTGCTGAGACATAGCTGGCTCTGCTTGGCTCCTTCAGGCTCAGCTCTGTGTCCCGTGGTTCCTGTTGTGAGGTAAGAGTAGACAGTGGGTGGCTCCTGCAGCCCTTTTCTGGAGGCCTTGCTATGTCTTGTTCCATTCTGGTCACTCTGGAAAAGTCCTGTACTTGGGAATTCACTCATGTGGATCTTGACTTATCTGCCCTCCCAGCAAACCCTGTGTGCCAGGTGCCCGGTAGTGAGAGGGTGGGCCAAGTCTCTGTGCCCCAGGAGGTTGTGTCCTATCAGGGCAACTCAGGCAAATGCACAAGCACTAGAGTGTCAGAGAGCGACAGTGCTTTTGCTCTGTGTGGCCACTCTTTACTGTTTCAAGTTATTATTTATTTATTTATTTATTTTATTTTTTAGAGATGGGGGTCTTGCTATGTTGCCCAGGCTAGTCTTGAACTCCTGGCCTCAAGGGATCCTCCTGCTTCAGCCTCCCAAAGTGCTGGGATTGCAGGTGTGAGCCACCGGACCCAACTGACTTCTTAAAAGCTGAATTTTAAACTTAAAGAAAAGTTGCATGAGAAATACAAGTGGCCCCCATGTCCCCTTCACCCAGGTTCACTAGCTGTGTCAAGCCCCCCGTCCCCTTCTCTTGCTGAGTGTCGTTTTCCTGAACCATCTGAGAGTAGGTTGGAGGCTGTGTGCCCCCTTACATCCAAATACTTAGTGGGTGTTTTCCAGAAATGAGGACATTTTCTTACATAACCACAATGCTGTTATTGAAATGAGGAAATTTGACATTGACATAATACTATTATCTAAGCTGGCACTTTCCTATAAATCAAAATATGCAAGGCACACATGCAATTTAAAATTTTTTAGTGGCTGCATTAATACAAGTAACAAGAAATTGGTGAAATTATTTTTAATAATGTATTTTATTTGACCTTATACATCAAAAATAGGATCATTTCAAGTGTTATTGGTGAGTTTTTTTTTTTTTGCTAGCAAGTGTTAGAAATCTGGAATGTATTCTACACTTGCATCCCAATTTGGACTTGCCCCATGTCAAGGGTGGGATGGACAGCCACGTGTGCTGAGTGGCTGCCGTGGACAGAGCGGGTAGCACAGTGCATGTTCAAGTTCAGAAGTGCTTTTGAGAAAGTGCAGGAGCATAAACGGATGGAGGGTGGATGGAGTGGGTGTGGGGGACGGTGCTGCCACCCGAGGAAGTGACAGCTGAACTGAGATCTTACTGAAGGGCTGAAGTCTGCTGGATGAAGATGCGAGAGGAGACTGGTCTTAGGCAGAGGGAGCAGCGATGCAAAGGGCCTGGGGCAGGAGTGAGTGTGCTTAGGAACTGCAGGGAGGCCCTGGGCACAGGAAGGTGAGGCAGGGCTGAGTAGAGCGGCTGCGGGGGCTAGATAAGGACCATGAATCCTAACGGTAGGTTAGACTAGAAAGGGTCACAGATTTTCAGCAGAGGCGTGATATATTCTGTTCTTTTTTTGGTTTCATAACTTTCAAAAACAATTTTTGTTTTTTAGAGACTGGGTCTCACCATGTTCCCCAGGCTGGTCTTGAACTCCTGGGCTCAAGTGATCCTCCCACCTCGGCTTCCCAAAGTGCTGGGATTACAGGTGTGAGCCATCATGCCTGGCCTCTGTTCTTTTGTAAAACTCCATCTGGCTGTGGCTAATACATTGGTGTGGGTAGGGAGGCAGAGTCGGAGCAGAGAGGCCCGTTAGGAGGTCACTGCAGCTACCTGGGTGAGAGATGGGGGCGGTTTGGACCCGGGAGGTGGTAGCGCCTGTGGGGAGAAGTGACTGGATCTTGGCAGCCTTCGGCAGGGCCTGGCTCTGGCCGCTGGGTTTGAGTGTCCCCTCTCACCCTGTCTGTCCCCTGCAGGTCCATGAAGCTAATGTACAAGGAGCCAGGGGTGTTTGAAGGCATCCCCACCTATCGCTTCGTGGCTCCCAAAACCCTGTTTGCCAATGGGTCCATCTACCCACCCAACGAAGGCTTCTGCCCGTGCCTGGAGTCTGGAATTCAGAACGTCAGCACCTGCAGGTTCAGTACGTGCTGTCCCCTGTGCTGGGATGGCGGGAGGGCGCGAGGGTGGGGCCAGCTGAGGGTTTATCTGCCCCGTGCTGTCTGCTGAATCTCTGGCCTCTGTACTCTTGATAATCCCATTAGGCTGAAGATAACGAGGCCGCAGAAGATGATTTGAAAAGGAAGAAATGCCAGGTCTATTAGTTGCTACCACAATAAATTGCCATGAACTTCATGGCTTAGAACAACACGCACTGGTTATCTTGCAGTTCTGTAGTTCAGAAGTCCGCGTGGGTCTCACTGCACTCAGATCAAGGAGGCTGTGTTCCTTCTGGAGGCTCTAGGAGAATCTGCATCAGCCTTTTCTGGCTTCTAGAGGCCTCTCTGTGTGTCTTGGCTCCTGGGCCCTTCCACCTTTGAGGCCAGCAACACAGCATCCTTCTGATCCACTGTGTCCTCAAATCTCTTCCTCTGCCCCCTCTTCTGCCCCCTCTTCCAGTTCTAAGGACCTTAAGACCACATCGTGCTCTCCTGGATACCCCAGGACAATCTCCCCATCTTGTTTATTTATTTATTTATTTTGAGACAGACTCTCACTCTGTCACCCAGGTTGGATGCAGTGGTGCCATTTCAGCTTACTGCAACCTCCTCCTCCCAGGCTCAAGTGATCCTCCCACCTCAGCCTCCCGAGTATCTGGGACCACAGTTGTGCACCACCACACCTGGCTAATTTTTTGTATTTTTGGTAGAGACGGGGTTTCACCATGTTGCCCAGGCTGGTCTTGAACTCCTGACCTCAAGTGATCCGCCTGCCTTGGCCTCCCAAGGTGCTGGAATTACAGGTGTGAGCCACCGCGCCTGGCCTATTTTTATTTTTTGAGACAAGGTATCACTCTGTAGCCTGGAGCTGGAGTACAGTGGTGCGATTATAGCTCACTGCAGCCTCGGCCTCATGGGCTCAAGCAATCCTCCTGCCTCAGCCTCCTGAGTAACTGGGATCGCAGGTGTGGGCCACGATACCTAGCTCATTTTATTTTTGTAAACTCTTTGTAGCGATGTTGTCTCACCATGCTGCCCAGGCTGGTTTCAAACACCTGGCCTCAAGTGATCCACCTGCCTCTGCCTGTTAAAGCAGTGGGATTACAGGTATGAGCCACTGTGTCTGGCCCAATTTCTGAACCTTCAAGGCAGCTGCTGAGCAGGCCCAGTGCCCCTTTGCCCTGTGACCTGGCATAGCCGTGGGTTCTGGGGCTTAGGGCATGGACGTGTCTAAGGGGCTGTTCCTCTGCCCTCCCACACCGTGATTTGGAACTTGAGAGTGAGGCTTGGTGGGAAGGACCCTTCACCCATTCTGAGATGAAAAGAGGCTGGCGAGGGTCTGTGTTACATAACATCCTCTTGTTCTGCGGCGTGGGCGGCTAGGCAGATGTGATGATTGCCGCTAGAGTTGTGCCCCCTGACATTGTTGGTGTGTCTCAATTGTGTGCCAGTCCCTGAGGCACCCCCGCCTCAAGTTGCTCAATTTGGACCCTCGGGTGTCAGTCTGATTCCCTGTTCTCACCCGGCTCTTCCAGTGTGTCAACAAGCCCAGATGGCTTTACCTCCAGGTTGAGTCCTCACTCCTTCCTCTCTCTTGCCACCCACTCCAACCCCCCGCCTCATTGTCCAGCCCACGGACACGTCCTTCCTGGTGATCCAGTCCTTTCAGTAGCCCATCCCTCGACGCAGCATTGCCGCTGTACCATCCATCCCCTAGACCATCCAGTGCGGTCACTGCTGGCCTCTTGCGGCTGTTTAAATTGAAATTGATTTAAACAAAATTAAATTAAAAGGCAGTTCCTTGGTTGCAGTGGCCGGAAGTTAAATGCTCACATGCTATGTGTGTCTAGCAGCTAGTGTCTTGGATAGCACACATAGAGAACATTTCCATCATCATAGGAAGTTCTGTAGCACTCCCGACAGCAGCCAAGGGATCTTTTAACAATGCCGGCCGGGTATGGTGGCTCACATCCGTAATCACAACCCTGTGAGAGGCCAAGGTGGGAGGATCACTTCAGGCCAAGAGTTCAAGACCAGCCTGGGCAATACAGCAAGACCTCTTTCTAGGAAAAAAAAAATTAGGCATAGTGGTGCATGCCTGTAGTCCTAGCTACGTGGAAGGCTGGGGTGGAAGGATGGCCTAAGCCCAGAGGTCGAGGCTGCAGTGAGCTGTGATCACCCCACTGCACTCCAGCCTGGGCAACAGAGCAAGACCCATCTCAAAAAATATGGAGATTGCCACTATACTCTCAAAATGTCTGGCAGCTCTGTCTGTATTCAGAGTGAAGTCCAAACTCCTACCATGGCCCTGGGCCCTGCAGGATCCAGCCCCTACCGACCTCTCTGAAGCCCCCGCTGGCCTCTCTGACTTCATTTCTCCCGACACGTCCCCTGTTCATTATTCTCCAGCCCTCATGGCTTCACCCTTTTTCTAAAATATACCAAGGTCAGTGCTGCCTCAGGGCCTTTGCGTGGGCTGCTTCCCCTGCTTGGAGAGCTCTTTATCTGGACTTCTGAGTGGATTATCCTTCACCTTCTTTTGGTCTGCATGCAAATGCCACCTCCTCCAGGAGGCCTCCTCTGATTTCCTGTTCTAAAGTTGCCCCCTCTCCTGCCCGCTGCTCCCTATGGCTTCGTCTTGTCTTCTTGGTGCTCATCGCTCCCTGAAATCATGGACTGTGGATTTTATCTTCTTATTCATTGCCCTTTCCATTCACTGTCATCCCTGTAGTCAGGGCCCCAAGCTCCTCTTCTTGGTTTTATTCTTAGCTTCTAGAACTGTGCCCCGCATGTAATGGATACTCATACAGTATTTGAATATAGGGATGGTGAGTGTGTTCTGTACTTAGGAAATGGAGGCCTGAGGCTGGATGCGACCAAGGTCACACACAGGGTTGGTAGGACCGGAAGCGGCCCTCTATTTGACTGTGTCGTGCCTTCTGGGAGCCTTTTTGGTTGAAGCCCCGTCTTCCAGCTGGAGACAGCGACTTGAAAGGACTGGTCTGCAGCGGGGGTCAGGAGGAGGGACTGTAAACGGATTGGATGCTTTCCCCCATTTCAGGCAGAATGGAGCAACCTGTGAGCAAACGGTTTGGAGCTGGGGCCTGGGTCGCCCGCTGCTGTCTCCTGGTCCTGTCTGGCCCGCCTGGGCAATGGCCTCTGCTTGCTTCATTCTTTGCTGGTATCAGCGGGAATTTCTGCTAGTAAGGTTGAGGATGTTACACACCCAATAGGTGTGCTACAGCAACTGTCGCAGTGGCAGATGCTGGACTCCACTTGATTTAGGCCAAAAGGGCACTTCTTGGTTTGCGTAATGAAAAATTCCAGGGCAGATCCCTGTATTAGGCACAAATCCAGAACTTAGATGTTGCCTGGAAGCTGCCTCTGCCAAGTCCCAGCTCAGTTTTCTGTCGGACTGGCTTTGCTGCCAAGCAGGCTCTCCCTCCTGGCTGCCTGTGGAGGCTCCAGGCTCACCTCTGCCCAGCTCTGAGTCCTGCAGAAAGGGGGCCACCTGTGTTTCCTTCACTCCAGCAGAAGTTCCAGGGTTTGCTCTAATTGGTCTGCCTGGCACCCATGCCCAGCTGTAAACCAATCACGGTAGCTGAGGTGGACTATGCTGATTGGCCAGGCTTGTGTCACATGATCAGCTGGCTCCTGGGTGAGCTGGCCCCACTCAAAGCACAAGGCTGAAAGTAGGGAAGGTGTAAGTAGGGGTGTAGGTACCAGGAGAAGGGAGAGAAATGACATGCCCATCCCCTCCAAGGGCTTGGGATGAGGTGTGCCCTGTCTTCTCTTATCACATCTGCCAAAAGAATTTCAAAAGCACAAGGGAATTTTAAAATACTTATTTAAATAAAGTTTTTTCTTTTCTTTATTTATATTTTTGAGATAGGGTTTCACTCTGTTGCCCAGGCTCAAGTGCAGTAGTGCAATCACAGCTCACAGCAGCCTTGACCTCCTGGGCACAAATGATTCTCTGACCTCAGCCTCCCAGGTAGCTGGGAGCACAGGTACACACCACCACACCTGGCTAATTTATTTTATCTTATTTTAAATTTTTTTTGTAGAGATGGTGTTGTGCCGTCTTGCCTGGGCTTAGTTTTTGCTTCTAAATAAAATACACATAGATACAAATAAGTTCCCAGATGATGCATGCAGTTTTGGGGGTTTTTTGCTTTGTTTTTTTTTGAGACAGGGTATCACTGTCACCCAGGCTGGAGTGCAGTGGTGCCATCACAGCTCACAGCAGCCTGACTTCCATCATTCAAATGATCCTCTTACCTCAGCCTCCCGAGTAGCTGGGACTACAGGTGGTTGCTAACATGCCCAGCTGATTTTTAAATTTTCCTTAGAGACGGGGTCTCACCATATTGCCCAGGCTAGTCTTGAAGTCCTGGGCTGAGGCGATCCTCCCGCCCAAAGTGCTGGGATTACAGGCATGAACTGCTGCGCCTGGCTGACATGTGCAGTTTGAAACTTCACAAAGTGAATGCACCATTTCTTGGCCAGCACCCTGACCGAGAAACAGACATGACAGGCCCCGGATACCCCTCGCAGTCCTCCCACCGCCTTGGCATCCAGCCCCAGAGCTCAGCTGGTTTGCATCTTCATGTGAATAGCCCATAAACCTGGATTCCTTTCCCTCCTTTTCTGGCCTGTGCACCCCTTAGCACCCTGGTGCGATTTGTCTGTGACGTTGTGAGTGGTTGCAGCTCCTCCTCTTCATTGCTGCATGGTGTTCCATCGTGGGCATTCGTGGTGCACACGTGTCATTTGGTCACCTATGTCTGTGTTTCTGTGGCATGTTATCTAAAGAGTAAAGGTACCCATGCCTTTGCCTTTCTGGGCCTTGAAATCTGTTGGACTCAGACAACTCCCTCATCTCAAACCTCCCTGTTGCGTGAGGGTGTCTGACTTGCCTCATAGAGCCAACTAATTATCATCCGTGGCAATCCTGGGCAATTATGCCTGGCTAGGTATGCCATAAAGCTATAAATTAATTACCACTTATTGCTGGGAAGATCTCTCGGTGTGTTTGGTAATAAAATTGGAAGAAACACGTGCGTGGGTCCATACAGGCTCAGCCTCTGAAGTAAGGGCGGGGGCTGACAAGTGGCCTCATCCCACCTCAGTCTCCACCTGGGGCTGTGGGTAGACCAGGGCTTGTTTGAGATTCCTCCAGAGTGTGGCTCCGTGGCTGCCTCCTCCACGGAGGAGGCATGAGAAGCAGCGTTTTCCACATTGTGGAAGACACTGTCCCTGCGGGAGCTTGGGATGGCTTCAGAAGGTCCAAGGAGGTGAGAGAGAGCTTCTGGGTCCATCTTCTTTTCCTCCTTGCCATCACGTGTAGGAGAAGGTCTCTGTTGATGCTGAGGACTTGAAGAACCTTCTACACTCATCAACCTTTTTTATTTTTTCTTTTAACAGAAAAAGAGCAGGGCTCCCAGTTAAAGCCTCGTGCAGTAACAGGTTACAACATCAATATTTTTCACAGTGTTTATTCAAATATGTCCTTTTTTTTTTTTTTTTTTTTTGAGACACAGTCTTGCTCTGTCGCTGAGGCTGGATTGCATTGGCGCAATCTTGGCTTACTGCAACCTCTGGAAACTATCGTCCAGGCTGGAATGCAGTGGTGCGATCTCAGCTCACTGCAGCCTCCACAACCTCTGCCTCCCGGGTTCAAGCAATTCTCCTGCCTCAGCCTCCCGAGTAGCTGGGATTACAGGCCCATACCATGCTCAGCTAATTTTTGTATTTTTAGTAGAGACGGGGGTCTCACCATGTTGCCCAGGCTGGTCATGAACTTCTGACCTCAAGTGATCTGCCTGCCTCGGCCTCCCAAAGTGCTGGGATTACAGGTGTGAGCCACAGTGCCTGGCCTAAATATGTACTTTCTAATTCTGGCAAGTGTTTGCACAGCTGTAAAGCTTCCCTTTAAAATACAGAGATTTAAGGAAGGCACTGGCAGTTGTTTCAGAGCAGCACATTATATAACAGTGCAGGGGGCATTCAGATGTGATGAAATTGAAAAGGTACTGGGATGAATGATGCTTGAGAAACCTGAAGGGCAGGGATGCACAAGAACTGAGAAAGAGGAAGCCCGACATCGATAATCCCAGCTTTTATTTCAAACCAGTGCCTGGCTTTGCTAAGAAAAGCAGAGATAGTAGAGATGGGGTTTCACCATGTTGGCCAGGCTGGTCTCAAACTCCTGACCTCATGATCGGCCCGCCTCAGCCTCCCAAAGTGTTGGGATTACAGACATGAGCCACTGCGCCTGGTCTTTTTTTTGGAATGAAGTTTCACTCTTGTTGCCCAGGCTGGTGCACAAGGCGCGATCTCGGCTCACTGCAGCCTCTGCCTCCTGCATTCAAGCGATTCTCCTGCCTCAGCCTCCCAAGTAGCTGAGATTTCAGGCACCCACCACCACACCTGGTTAATTTTTGTATATTTAGTAGAGATGGGGTTTCACCATGTTGACCAGGCTGGTCTTGAACTTCTGACCTCAGGTGATCCACCCACCTCGGCCTCCCAAAGTGCCGGGATTACAGGCGTGAGCCACCATGCCTGGTCTCTGATTCGGGTTTTTTTCTGTTTTGTTTTCCTTTCTTATTGAGGCAAAATTCTTGTACCATAAAATTAACCATTTTAAAGTGAACAATTCAGTGGCATTTAGCAGGGTCACAAGGTTGTGCAGCCATCACCTGTATCTCGTTCCAGAACATTTGTGTCACCCCAAAAGGAGACCCAGACTCATCAGAAGTTACTCCCCGCCCCCTCCCCAGCCCCTGGTCACCACCCGTCGGCTCTGTCAGTGGATTAGCACCATCTGGATCCTCGTGAGCTTTTAAAAAAAATTTTTTTTTTTCTTTTGAGACAGGATCTTGCTCTGCTGCCCAGGCTGGAGTGCAGTGGCACGGTCATGGCTCACTGCAGCCTCAGCCTCCAAGGCTGAAGTGATTCTCCTGCCTCAGCCTCCTGAGTAGCTGGGACTACGTGCATGTGCCACCATGCCCAGCTAATTTTTGTATTTTTTTTTTTTTGGTAGAGATGGGGTCTTGCCATATTGCCCAGGCTGGTCTCCAATTCCTGGGTGCAAGTGATCTACCTGCTGAGGCCTCCCAAAGCGTTGGGATTACAGGCATAAGCCATGGCGCCTGGCCCTTGTGAGCTTTTGAGAGAGGCCCGCTCGCTGTTCCTTGTTAACTTGTCCTTCAGGCCTGTTGCCCATTGTCCGGAGGGTGAGCTAGTGTTTGCCTGGTTTGGTTGGTCAGTGGTGAGGTTGAGCTCATGTTTGTAGCAGGTGTGTCTACAGGACACACTCCTGTGGACGCAGGGAGGCCTGCCCACCTGAGCTCTGATTGTTGCTGCGTGGCCTGCAAGGGCCAGTGTAGGCTCCTTGACTTGTGCTCCAGACTCCCCTCCCCACACCCAAGTTCAGATCTGGCATTGCCTTGTCCATCCCTGCCTCCCTAGCACCCTCGTGCACCATGCATTTCCCCTGCCCGCACTTGCTTCCACCTTCCCTTCCATCTGGAATGTGCTTCCTGGGCCTCCTTCACCTGGCTCCTGTTAAGAGGCCTTTGGTCTCTTCCTTCCTTTGGTCTCTCCTGTCAGAATCAGCAGCTCCTGCCTCACCCCTTCTCTGGCACAGAGCTTGTCCCTCATGGTAGGGCCTGGGGCTTTTGACGGAATGGAGGAAGGGATCCTCTCTGTCTGGTTATCTTGTCATTGCCACGGGGGTGCTCTGCAGACCGCAGCTCTGTGCAGACCTACGGCCTGGCAGGACCTGCCAACGCACTGTCCTTGTCTGATGTCCCCTCGCCACCCCTCTGTCTTCTAGGTGCCCCCTTGTTTCTCTCCCATCCTCACTTCCTCAACGCCGACCCGGTCCTGGCAGAAGCGGTGACTGGCCTGCACCCTAACCAGGAGGCACACTCCTTGTTCCTGGACATCCACCCGGTGAGCCCCTGCCATCCTCTGTGGGGGGTGGGCGATTCCTGGTCGGAGCACACCTGGCTGCCTCCTCTCTTCCCAAGCACAGAGCTGCTGTGGGCAGGGGTGGTGGAAGCCTGGCTTCTAGAATCTCGAGCTACCAAAGTTCCTTCCTTCACCCCGACTCCATAGTTCATGGGTTTTATGATCCCTGTACCGGGTTCTATAAATGGGCCCTAAGACAGTAAATTAATTAGAACTTATCAGCTGGGGTGTCTCCTACATGTGAGCTGGAGGCAGCCCTCTGGATGTGTCAAGATACCATAAAGATCAGGTACCAAGAAAAGCCAGGAATATCTTGCAGATAAATCACACAGAGAATTTGTCCCGTGTGAAGTTCTGTCTACAAGCAGGGAGCTGGACATGTGGCCCTCCCAAGGACATGCCTTCAGCCTGTAGCCTCTTCTCTTGGCGCCTCTGTTCTCTGTAAAATATGCCCAGTTGGGCTTGGTGGCTGCTACCATTGATTCAGAAATCTGTGGTTTTCTGTTTCCTGAGTGGGCACTTGTGGTCTCTCCCATGGGCTTTTAACAAAATTATTATTATTATTTTTGAGACAGGGTCTCACTCTGTTGCCCAGGCTGGAGTGTAGTGGCATGATCATGGCTCACTGCAGCCTTGACCTCCCTGGGTTCAGGTGATCCTCCCACCTCAGCCTCCCTAGTAGCCCAGACTACAGACATGTGCCACCATGCCTGGCTAATTTTTATATTTTTTGTAGAGATGCGGTTTCGCCATGTTGCCCAGTCTGGTCTTGAACTCTTGGGCTCAAGCAATCCTCCTGTCTCAGCCACCCAAAGTACTGGGATTACAGGCATGAGCCACCGTGCCCAGCCAAAATTAGTTTTCTAACTTGAAAAAGAAAAGCTGTCTATTTTTGAGTACATGCCAATTAACATATGTATTACCTCACATACTGATCATGTATTGGTGGTGAGAACATTTAAAATCTACAGTCGGCAACTTTCAAGTATACAATACATTGCTATTCACTATAGTCACTGTGTTGTATTGTATAGTACAATACACTGACCGTTGCTATATTGTCCAGCAGATCTCCTAAAGTTATTCCTCCTGTCTAACTGAAATTTTGTATCCTTTGACGGACTTCCCCCTCCCTGCCTTGCCAGCCCCTGCTAGCCAGTATTCTACCCTCTGCTTCTATGAATTCAACTTTTTTTTTTTTTGAGATGGAGTTTCACTCTGGTTACCCAGGCTGGAGTGCAGTGGCACGATCTCGGCTCGCTGCAACCTCCACCTCCCGGGTTCAAGCAATTCTCCTGCCTCAGCCTCTCGAGTAGCTGAGATTACAGGCACACACCACCACCCCTGGCTAATTTTTGTATTTTTAGTAGAGACAGGGTTTTGCCACGTTGGCCAGGCTGGTCTTGAACTCGTGACCTCAGGTGATCCACCCGCCTCGGACTCCCAGATTGCTGGGAATATAGGCGTGAGCCACTGCGCTTGGCCTGAATTCAACTTTTTAAGATTCCACATACAAGTGAGGTCATGCAGTATTTGCCTTTCTGTGCCTGGCCTATTTTACTTAGCATAATGTCCCCCAAGTTCATCATGTTGTCACAAATGACAGGATTTCCCTGTTTTTATTTATTTATTTACTTGAGGCAGAGTCTTGCTCTGTCACCCAGGCTGGAGTACAGTGGCATGATCTCGGCTCCCTGCAACCTCCGCCTCCTGGGTTCAAGTGAGTCTCCTGCCTCAGCCTCCAGAGTAGCTGGGATTAAAGGCACGCACCACCATGCCTAGCTAATTTTTGTATTTTTAGTAGGGATGGGATTTCACCATCTTGGCCAAGCTGGTCTCGAACTCCTGGCCTCAAGTGATCCGCCCACCTCGGCCTCCCACAGTGCTGGGATTACAGGTGTGAGCCACCTCGCTGGCCAGATTTCCCTCTTTTTAAATGCTGAACAGTATCCCACTGTGTGTGCACCATGTTTGCGGTGCCCATTCATTCGCTGACAGACACTTCGCTTGATTCTGTATCTTGGCTGCATTGTACATGGGAGTGCCCCTGTCTCTTTGACACACTGATTTCGTTTCCTCTGGGCAGATGCCCGGCAGTGGATCACTGATCCGATGGTAGTTCTGGTTTTAGTTGTCTGAGGAAGCTCCATGCGTTTGCCACAGTGCTGCGCACCTCAGGCCCTTCCGGAAGCTCTGCGGCAGATGCACCATTTTCCTTTTCCTTTTCCTTCCATTTTCCTTTGTCCTCCCAGGCCTCCTTAGCCACTGACTAGACCCTCTCGGCCCTGGCCGCAGGCCTGGTCTCTGCTGTCCGTCTTTTAGTTAATTCCTCCTCCGGCCTCTCTTGCTCTGCTGGCTTCCGGAGAATTCCGCCATGCACACCGTCTCCTGTGTGCTCTCACTGATCACTTTCCTTTCAGGGCAGGGATTTTCTTTTCTCCCCCTCACATCAAGAAAGAGGGGGTTAAGTTTGGGAGCCCAGAGAGAGGCATAGAGCTGTTTTGCCGCAGCCACTTTAGCTGCTGCGTCCAATTCTACCTCCAGATCAGCTTGAGGCCGACAGGGAGAGGAAGTGGCCTTTACTTCTTTGTTTTTTGAGCTGGGCACGTTGGGGAGGGGATCATGAGATCAGCTTGCTGCCTGTTGGCCATTAGCCTTGAAAACCAAATGCATGTTGGAAGCTGCTTCCGTGTGGCCACTTTTCTGCTCCTGAAACTGGGGGAGGGCATGGGGACAGGGGACGCAACAGGACGCCGCTATGGTGGTATCACAACTAAGATTTATTATAACGACAGAATTCAAAGCAAAATTAGCAAAGGGAAAGAGCACCTTGGGTGAAGTCGGGGGAGGTCAGGCTGGGGCTTCCAGAGTCCTCTTTCAGGGGAGTCCTACAGGATACACTTAATGTCTTCAGCAATGAGTTATGACAACATGTAGGAGATGTTGTCTAGCAGGGAAGCTCGTTAGAAATTCAGTGCCCACAGTGTTTTGCTAGGGGCCAATCACATGGGCACCTCTGCCTGGCAGGTACCAAAATTCTAGACTCTGGGAAGGAAAGCAGGTGCTGAGCAAGAACCATACTGTTTGTGCAGATAATTTTGGCCCAGTGAACTACTCTCATCAGTTGGGGATGGTGGGAACCCTCCTGAAATCTGGGTTCCCAGATGCCAGCAGAATTCCTAAGGAGAGCAGCTTCAGGCCTGCGGTGTGAACTCTGTTCTACTCATGGGTGAACTAACGCCCATCCCACCAGGCTTTCACTTTCAAGGGCAAGTGCTCCCCAGTTGTGGGCATAAGTGAGGCGTTTGATGAGCTCTTCTTTACCACAGGGGCCTGGAAGGGCCTCAGCATCCTGGGCCATAATGAAGAAAACATCCTTTCCTTACAGTGTATGTGATAATAACCCAGGCATTTATGGCCCTGAGTGTGGCTATCTTGCATACCTTACTTTTGCTCTTGCAAATATTCTGTCAGGTGGGGAGAGTTCCCTCTGTTTTACAGATGAGGAAGCAACTCTCAGTTAAGAAGAACCAAATGCAGTTCTCTGACCTCAAATCTAGTTTTATTTCCACTATCATTTCCTGACTTCATTCTGGAACCACCTTCCTGTTGTTTTTGATGACATATGTGTGTCACTTCTGCTATTTACTTAAAAAAAAAGTCTCATAAAAAAAGAGTTGAGTGTAGTGGCTCATGGCTGTAATTCCAGTGCTGTGGGAGGCTGAGGCAGGAAGATCACTTAAGGCTAGTTTGAGACCAGCCTGGGCAACCTAATAAAACTCTGTCTCTACAAAAATGATAATGATAAATAGGCTGGGCGCAGTGGCTCACGCCTGTAATCCTGCCTTGGGCGGCCAAAGTGGGCAGATCGCTTGCAGCCAGGAGTTTGAGACCAGCCTGGTCAACATGGTAAAACCCTGTCTTTACTAAAAACACAAAAATTAGCTGAATGTGGTAGCGCACACCTGTAGTCCCAGCTACTGGGGAGGCTGAGGCAGGGCAATGGCTTGAACTCAGGAGGCAGAGGTTGCCTGCACTCCAGCCTAGATAACTGAGACTCTGTCTCAAAAACAAACAAAAATAAAAATAAATTTCTGCACAAGGGAAGGTTTTTATTACTACCTCAAATAGGAAATTACAAAATTCTCCAAGGAAAGAAGACAACCATAAAAATGAACAAGGAAAAAAATATTAGGCTCTATGTAAAATATTGTTGTCTGCCAGCAGGGGTGAACCTGGGGCCAACTCTGCGCCAGTGTTAAAAGTGGAGATTTTGTGTAGGTGTATTAGAGGGGCATTAAAGACCATGCAAACACCTGGCTGAGACTACTCTTGAAAATGATCCGGAGGAGTTGGGAGTGAATTGAGAAGGGATTCTTGTCCGTTTTATTGAATGTGGAGGTTGAGAGGGAGCATGGACAAATTGCCATTCTGCACTTTGGGAAACACCGTCTTAGGAGGACAGGTGAAAGTGATTAGGTTTTTTCCACCCTGGAACAGGCTTGCTTTCTAGAAGGGACCTCTTGAGGCTGTAGACATAACCGTGTGGGAAACACTTGTTTCCCTATAAGGGGTTAGAACCAGGAGAGGAGATCCCAATGCACCTGCCCAGCATTTCTAGAACCATGGACCCTCCCCCAGCCTGTGGCTTGTTTTAGGTCAGATACAAGCAAGCTCCACTGGGCAGTTAGCTGGGACGCCCACCTTCTTGACAGAGACCAGGGAGAGGAGGGCTTGGTGGTGTCCCTGGAGCTGGGGGTGGCCAGTCTCCTCACTGTGTTTGTTGCCGCAGGTCACAGGAATCCCCATGAACTGCTCTGTGAAACTGCAGCTGAGCCTCTACATGAAATCTATCGCAGGCATTGGGTGAGTGCGGACTGGGAGCTGGGGCTGCATTGCTCATTGAGAGATGAGGGGCTCAGTGCTCCAGTGGTCCCAGACTCCAGTGACATACCCCAGGAACCAGGCATGGGGAGGGGAGAGGGTCCTATTGAGGATGAATCTACTCCCTGCTGATCTTCTCCCTGAGGGGTCTTGGTTTTGAGCCAGGTCCTGACCTGCATCCTGATATTCCTTCCCCAGAAGGCCACTTTTCTTTCCCTTTTTTTGTTTTTGTTTTTGTCTTTTCTTTTTAGATGGAGTCTCGCTCTTGTTGCCCAGGCTGGAGTGCAAGGGTGGGATATCGGCTCACCACAACCTCCTCCTCCCAGGTTCAAGCGATTCTCCTAACTCAGCCTCCTGAGTAGCTGGGATTACAGGCATGTGCCACCACACCTGGCTAATTTTGTATTTTTAGTAGAGACGAGGTTTCACCATGTTGGTCAGGCTGGTCTCAAACTCCTGGCCTCAAGTGATCCGCCCACCTGGGCCTCCCAAAGTGCTGGATTACAGGCGTGAGCCACCGTGCCCAGCCTCCACTTTTCTTTCTTAACATTCACCCCCTCCCTGCCAATTAGCCAGAGCTTTAATACAAGCTGTTTCCTACATGACAGAGTGACAAAAATTAAAGCCTGGCAAAACCAAATGTTTGAAAATGGAAACTTACCAAACAGCATTCTTTAGTTTCACTATTCATTTTATAAGAATTTTTCAACCACTGATTTCCTCTTTTTGATTTTTAAAATAAAACAACTTTATGGAAATACAATTCACATACCATAAAACTCACCCCTTTAAAATGCGCAATTCAAAATAAAAAAATAAAAAACAACAATCCCCCCCTCAAATAAAATGCAGAATTCAGTGACTTGTAGTGTATTCACAGAATTGTGCATCTATCACCACAATCAATTTTGGAACATTTTCATCACCCCCAAAAGAAACCCCACACTCATTAACACTCACTTCCCTGTCCGCTCAGCCCCAGGCAACCGCTCTTCCTCTTCCTGTCTCTGTGGACTTGCCTATTCTGGGCATTTCATATAAATGGAATCACACACTATGTGGTCTTTGGTCTTTTGCGACTGGCTTCTTTCATTTAGCATCATGTTTTCAAGGTTCATCCATGTCGTAGCATGGATCAGTATATTTTATGGCTGGATGATATCCCATTGTCTAGATAGATCACATTTATTTATCGGTTGATGGATGTCTGAGTTGTTTCCACGCCTTGGCCATTATGCATAATGTAGCTATAAATGTTCCTGTGTCAGTCCCAGTGTAGACATCTGTTCTCATTTTCCTTAGTTAGGTACCGAGGGGTGGAATCGCTGGGTCCTATGTTAGCTCTTTGTTTAACTGTTTGAGGAACTGTCAGACTTTTGCACAGCCTCTACCCTGTCCCCATTCTTAGCAGCAGCGCAGCAGGGTTCCAGTTCCTCCCCACGCGCACCAGCACTTGCTGTAGCATTACACGTTGCTAGGACTTGGTGAGGGATTACACTGATTTGTTGCTATGTCAGTGTCTGTGCTTCTTAGCATATCTGAAATAGTTTCGTTAAAAAAAATTCTCTTAGAAAAATCCCTGGGTTGCAGGAATGTAAGCATCTATTCAGCTTTGTCAAATGCCTCTCGGCTGGAAAGAATAACACTTTGTCAGAGCACGGCAGCGAGTAATAACTGTCAGCTCGCTTCCTTCACTGCCCCCCTTGCCTTTTATTTTTATATTTTGAGGCCACTTAGGGAATTTGTTCTTGATAGATTTGTGGGTGGGGAAACAGCACTAGGCACAGAAGAGGCGATTGCAGCCTAAGTCCTCCCTCTGGTTCCACCACTTGGCACCTGGGCTGCTAACTGGGATGTAACTGGGGCCAAGTGGGTGACCCTGATAGAAGAGGAGACCTGGGGCTGAGGATACAGCCCCTTCCCAGCACCAGCTGACTGTGGCCCCATGGAAATGTGGGCTCACTATGGCCACATCCTCTGCATTTTTCAAAAGGACCTCCAAATCTGAATTTTAACAGGAACTCTGTCAATTTTTACTTCTTGGGAGGTAATTCACATTCTTTTTTTTTTTTTTTTTGAGACAAAGTCTTGCTGTGTTGCCCAGACTAGAGTGCAACCTCTGCCTCCCAGGTTCCAGCGATTCTCCTGCCTCAGCCTCTCAAGTAGCTGGGATTACAGGCACTCACCACTACACCCAGCTAATTTTTGTATTTTTAGTGGAGACAGGATTTCACCATGTTGGCCAGGCTGTTCTTGAACTTGTGACCTCAGATGATCCACCTCCCAGAGTGCTGGGATTACAGGCATGAGCCACCGCACCGGGCCTAATTCACATTCTTGACAAACAGTTCACACGGGCAGCTGGATTGTGCCTGCCAGTGACCTGTGGACCGGTTGCTGTGGGCCACTCACCCAACCTCTCTGGGGACTCACCCAACCTCTCTGGGCCGCACAGCTGCTGACCTCCCTGCAGACTGGGAACAAGGCACTCCAGGAAAGTGGTCTCAACAGCAGATATTGAGGGCCACAAGGGATGGCGTGGGAAAAGTCTAGGGACACAGCTGCCGGAAGCAGAGCTGTCTCGTGACCTGTCGGGGGAGCTTCTGTGCTCCTTGCTCACTAGGTAAAGGCAGTGGGGTTGCATGTTACTTGCATATAGTTCCCACTGGTTCTTACAAAGTCTTTCGGAGAAAAGCAGCCAAAGTGAATGGTACCATCTGTTGTCTTTCCATTGTGTTTCGTCCTCTGTAGGGTGATAGTGTGAGCCCATTTCACTGTGCTATACCCTATTTAAGTGGCCCGAGAGACCTCCAATAATTGTGATTGGGGGATTTGAGCCTTTTTTTTTTTTTTTTTGAGATGGAATCTCACTCTGTCGCCAGGCTGGAGTGCAGTGGTGCGATCTTCCCTCCGACTGCAACCTCCGCCTCCCTGGTTCAAGCGAGTCTCCTGCCTCAGCCTCCTGAGTAGCTGGGATTACAGGCATGTGCCACCACGCCTGGATAATTTTTATATTTTTAGTAGAGACGAGGTTTCACCATGTTGGCCAGGATGGCTTTGATTTCCTGACCTTGTGATCCGCCTGCCTCGGCCTCCCAAAGTGCTGGGATTACAGGCGCGAGCCACCACGCCCCAGACCCTCTTTTTAAAAATTAATTTTTCTGGCCGGGCGCGGGGGCTCACGCCTGTAATCCCAGCACTTTGGGAGGCTGAGGCGGGTGGATCACGAGGTCAGGATATCGAGACCATCCTGGCTAACATGGTGAAACCCCGTCTCTACTAAAAATACAAAAAAATTAGCCGGGCGTGGTGGCGGGCGCCTGTAGTCGTAGCTACTCAGGAGGCGGAGGCAGGAGAATGGCGTGAACCCAGGAGGTGGAGCTTGCAGTGAGCCGAGATTGCGCCACTGTACTCCAGCCTGGGTGACAGAGCCAGACTCCTTCTCAAAAAAAAAAAAAAATTTTTTTTTTCTTTTTTTAGGTGTTTTACAATTTGTTTTTGTTTTTTCGTTTTTCTTTCTCTTGCCTGATTGCTCTGGCGAGGACTTCCCACTTTTCTCTTTAAGGACTTTTATGATTCCCTGGGACCTACCTAGATATCAGGACAGTCTCGCCATCTCAGAACCTTGATGTACCCATATCTGCATGGACCCGCCTAGATATTCCAGGACACTCTCCCCATCTCAGAGCCTTGATGTAGTCACGTCTGCATGGTCCCCCTTTGTCGTGGCAGGTCACCGTATCCCAGGTGTCACATTGGTCTTCCGGTCTCCTTAGGCACCTCTTGGCTGTGGCAGTCTCTCATTTCTCCTTCGTTTTGATGACAGTGACACTTTTGAGAAGCACTGGTCAGGTATTTTGTAGGATGCCTCTCTCCTGGGATTGGTCTGGTGCTTTTCTCATGATTAGACTGGGGTGATGGGTTTTGGGAGGAGGAAGACCACAGAGAGAAAGTTCCAGTTTCAGAGCATCTAGGGTACATTCCGTCAACATACTGTATCACTGTTGATGTTGACCTTGATAGCCTGGACAAGGTCATGCCTGTCACGTTTCTCCGGCATCGAGTTAACTTTTATTCTCCCTTTGGATTTTATTATCTTTTTAACTTGGCGTGTAAGTTTTAATGTCACAGGTAATATGAACATATCTTCTTGAGGGGAAGAATAAAGAGAGTTTCCTGTGACTCCCCACCATCCCCAGCCGTACCCACCATCATTAATTTGCTGTGCTTCCTTCCAGGCCTTTTCCTACTTCTTTACATTCATATATATGTCACCATAGAGAAGATACAGGTTGTCATTTGTCTGTTTGTTTGTCTTTGCTAGTCCAAGCAACACTGAACATCTTTGTGCCTCTGTGTGCATGTGTGAGCATCTCTAGGGCAGTTTCTGAAGAGCATAATTGCTGGGTCGTGAGGTATATTGGTGGAATTAGGTTTGTCAGTATAGATCAGAAAACTCAACAGTTGTTGCCCAAATGGAACAAAGGTATATTGTTATTTAAAAAATCTTCTTTTAGAGGATGTCTGGAGGCAGACAGTCAGAGTATGGCAAGAGACATTCATGGTCCAAGTTCCACTCATCTTTCTGTTCCATTTTCCCAACACATGGCTTCCATCCTCAAGGTCACCTCTGGTCCCACTGGCTGCAGAGCTCCAGCCCTTGCATCTGCATTCCAGGCATCTGAAAGGGAGGAGGGAAAAAAGGTTCACATCCCAGCTGTGAAAGCTGCTTTTTGAGCAACCTTCCCGGCCATCCCACATAACGCTTCTGCAAACATCTCATTAACCAGAACTTGGTTACAGAGCCTCACTTGCCACAAGAGAGGCTGAGGTGGAGTCTTTCACTGGGTGCATTGCCATCCTGAGTAAAATTTGGGTTCTGTTTCTAAAAGGGACCAATGGATTTTGGCTGGGTCACTGGTGGGCTTTGCCCTGTAGGAGATGTGAGTTTTTAATTTAAAAAGATTATTATCAAATTATCAAGCTCTTTGCCAGGGGAGATTCCTTCTAGCAGCACATCAAAACACCGGTTCCCTAAGCCTGCACCAGTCAAGTACCGTGGCCCCCTCATCCCCGGGAGTATATTCCAAGACCCCCAGTGGATGCCTGAAGCTGGGGATAGTACTGAACCCTGTATAGCATATACTCTGCTTCCTCCTATACACACAACATCTATGATAAAGTTAATTTATAAATTAGGCATAGCCGCACTTAACAATAACTAAGAATAGAGTAATTATAACAAATGCTATAATAAAAGTTATGTGAATGTGGTCTCTCTCTCAAAATATCTTATTGTACTGTACTCAGGGTAAGAAATGGCAGAAATCAAAACCGTGGATAAGGAGGGATGACTGAGACTGCAGAATCAAGTCCCTCCTGGCCCCAGAACTTATGATCACAGGTTCAAAGCTGTGTGATGACAAACAGCCCTTTGGGAAAACATCTCACCTTGTCAACTAAAGAAAACAAAACAAAACAAAAAACAACAACAAAAAATGCCTTTTAAAGAATTAAAGTTGGGTGCAGCACACCAACATAGCACATGTATACATATGTAACAAACCTGCACGTTGTGCACATGTACCCTAGAGCATAAAGTATAATGAAATAAAAAATAAAAAGAATTAAAGTTAGTCTTATTTACAAGTAGTATTGAGGGCTGTAGACTGAGACCTTCAGCCTGGGGAGAGTTTTGTCACATGGCTCCTAAAGTGTTTCAGCTCATTGTTTATATTTAGTGGTGAGGGTTTAGCGTGTGCAAAATTATACTAAACCCGTTTAGATGTTGTATTCAAGCAGAATTATATCAAGGTTTGGGTGTAAGACTTTGTTTCACACAGCTATACCTTGCTTATTTCCAGACAAACTGGGAAGATTGAGCCGGTGGTCCTGCCGCTGCTTTGGTTTGCAGAGGTAAGGGTGCGTTGGGCACAGTGTCAGGGGCTTTTGTTAAGAGCCAATGTGGGCATTTGAGGCAGGGGGTGGGGATCGGCTTGTAGAAAGGGAGAGGGCTGGGCCGGGGTAACCGGACTGTGACATGGACCAGTGTATCAGAAATTTCACACTGTCCAAGCACCCTATGTCAGTTATCCCACTGAGTTGAAAGGGATCCCTTGAGATGGGGAAGACTGAAGCTGCATCAAGCGGTAAAGTCCCTGGCCCTGGGTGTAAAATGATTTTGTTGAGGCATATAACCTCTTCTCCTGAAAGTGGGGAAGTTGGTTTCCAAGGTGTCAGCTTTTTACTTAAACTTACTTCTCTTGCATCTTTTTAGAATTCATTCTGGCCTATTTTATTTTATTATTTTATTATTTTTTTAATTTTATCTTTTTTTAAATTTTATTTATTATTTCTTGCCTACCTCGTTTTAAATCAGGGCTAGCTAATGGCCAGGACAAACAAGCCTCCGAATGTCAAGTTCACTTCCTGCTCACAGCCCAGTCTGAAGTGGGTTGATGGGGAAGCAGAGCTCTGCTGCCTCCAGTAATTTAGGGTTCCAGGGCCCCGGGGGCCCCGCCCTCCTGTAGATCCTCCTTTCAGTGGCAGGGAAAGCGATGGGGGGTCACGTGAGGCCAGGCCCACCTCCCATTGGTCAGAACACGACCAAATGCCCCTGCCCAACTGCAAGGATTCTGGGAATTGTAGTCTCACCTTGTGTCCTGGAGGGAGGCGGTGCCTGGCAGGCTCCAACACATGCTTTAGCTAGGGAGCTTGAGATGGGGAAAGGCTGAGGCGGGCACAGAGGAGGGTGTTGGGTGGCATCTGCGCTGTAGCCCACAGCCTGTGGCTCCAGCTCATGTGTTGTCATTCTGCCTCCTCAGAGCGGGGCCATGGAGGGGGAGACGCTTCACACATTCTACACCCAGCTGGTGTTGATGCCCAAGGTGATGCACTATGCCCAGTACGTCCTCCTGGCGCTGGGCTGCGTCCTGCTGCTGGTCCCTGTCGTCTGCCAAATCCGGAGCAAAGTAGGTGCTGGCCAGAGTGTGGCCCGGGCTGACAGCTATTCGCTTGCCTGCTGGGGGAAGGGGGCCTCAGATCGGACCCTCTGGCCAACCACAGCCTGGAGCCCACCTCCAGCAGCAGTCCTGCTTCTGTGCTGGAGTGGGAGCGGTCACTGCTGGGGGCTGTGCTGCAGGCTTGCGTCTTTTGCATGCCGCGTTGCCACTACTCTGCCTGTTCTGGAAGGCCTGGGACCCTCCCTTGGAGGGGGTGCAGGTGGGTTTTGAGTAATGAGACCTGGTATTTGCATCGTTCATTCATCAAGTCAGCACCCGGGATGCCAGGTTCTGTTAGGGGCAAGGGGACGCACAACAGTGGAGGAGACAGCTGAGGAGCCTGCTCAGGGGGATTGAGGGGGCTGGCATTCCAGCCGGGGAGACAGATGAAAACCAAATAAATCAGCAGAAAAGATAATTACACTCATGATAGGAAATGTGAGGGGCTAGAGCCATGGTGTCAAATAGAAATACAGCGTGAGCCACGTGTGAAGTTTTCAGATTAAATTTTCTAATAGCCATTTAACAGTCCAAGGAAACAGGTGGAATTAATTTTAATTTTATTTAACCCAAATATATGCAAAATATTATCACTTCCACATGTAATCAGTATAAAGGATGTCAATATTTTTGCAGTTGTTTTGCGTGAAGTCTTTGAAATCCTGTGTGTATGGTACATGTGCAGCAGGTCTTAATTTGGACTGGCTCTGTTTCAAGGGCTCACCAGCCGAATGCAGCTCCCAGACCGGACAGTGCATGTCTGGGGCAAGTGGGGACAAGGACAGATGGAGCTCCAGAAAGGCCTCTCTGAAGAGGTAGATAGTGAGCTTTGAAGTGGAGGGCAGGGAGGCGTTCAGCACACAGCCACAGGAGGAATGCTGCCTGGAGCGGCCACTGTAAAGGCCCTGCGGCAGGGACAGGCAAGGCACATCAGAGGGTCAGGCAGGGCCAGGGTGGCTGGAGGGGAGAGAGGGCAGGGACATAGGTAGGGGGTGGTGTCTGAGAGTGGACAGGGCAGGCCACCCAGGGCCTTGTGGTGCAGAGTGAGCAGTCTGGAACTGATTCTGGGAGTGACAGAGCCATTGGAGGCTTTTAAAGAGGGGAATCACTAGGTCAGCTGCTGGCTGGCAAGTGGGCCCTGGGCTGGGAGGGGTGGAAGCCTGGGCCCAGCGGGGAGGCCCCAGTGGGTGAGGAAGTCAGTGGCTCGAATAGGATGGGGCAGCTGCTATCAGGAGGGAATGGAAATGGGGGGAAGAGCTCCAGCCCTGGGCTTCAGACCTCCAGAAGCAGCAAGAAGAGGGGAGACCTCCTTGCTTCGGGGTCATTTATTTATTTATTCATGGCATTCACTGCAAGGTCCGTTGCACAGGTCAGGGGATGCAGAAATGACCAGAACATGAGATCGGCAGCAGAGATGGGCAAGGCAGACCTTTAGGCAAGTTACTACAGTCACACGAAGGACAGGAGAGCTGTGATCACAGAGCTCAAGGGGCAGTGGAGATGGGCGAGCAGCTGCCATGGCAGGGGAGGGGATGCTGCCCCCGGCAGGCATCAGGAAAGGCTGTTTTTGGATGCATGGAGCAGAAAGCCACCCTCTGAGGTGGCCCCCACCTGCATCATCCTAGGGCCACAGGCCGAGGCCTTCTGGGGGCCTTGGGGCTGCCCCGCTGCTCTGCTGGTCTTGACTCCTCTGCAGTACCTGCTTCCTTTAGCACTGGTGAATGCTTCTTCCTCTTCCCCTCTCTCAGGGAAGGCTTGACTGCTTCCTTGCTTGCCTGCTGGGTAAGAATAAAGCATTCTTGGTTCTTCATCTTGGCTTTCAGACCTGAAACCCGACTTCCTTTCAAAATTCCTGCCCTCGGGGGGAAAAGGTTTCCACAATGTGAGGTGGTAGCCTGGACACCAGCTGTCATCCTGTTGCTGCTGTAGCGTTTGAGCTCCTGATGATCAATGATCATTGGGTCCAGCCAGCCCTTTTGGGAGCCCCCTTCTTTGTTACTGCCCCGGGGCAGCCAGGACCCAGCAGGGCTGTGACTCCAGCAAGCAAAAGGGAACTCCCTCCAGTTTCTAGACTGAATTATGTAGAGAGGAGAGAAGGAATCAGAACCCACGCTCCCAGACCATGAATACCTCCCTGTGGCAGAGCATCACTGTGGGTGTCCACAGGCGAGGACGCACAGCCATGTGAGGGGTCCCTGAGGACTGGCTGAGGGACTGGGCCAGAGGAGGCCGTGACAGCCTCAACTCTCTGTCTCCTTCTGTCTCTCTCCAAATTGTCCATCAGAATGGGAACAGGGAAGGAGGGTCAGGAAGCACAGAATGTCTGGGCTCTGGCTAGGGTCCTCTTCCCTGCCATAGCCCCCAAATCACCATCCCACCCTCAAATCCAGTAAGAATGCTAGGATCGGCAGTGTGGCTTCCCTCCCTGCAGGTTTCACTGGAGGCCACATAAGTGAAATCTATCCCATTATGTGTGTTTTGATTTAGCAGGGCCTTACCAGTTGTTTGTTTGTTTGTTTTTGTTTTTTGGGGTTTTTTTTTTAGATGGAGTCTCGCTCTGTTGCCCAGGCTGGAGTGCAGTGGTGCAATCTTGGCTCACTGCAACCTTCACTTCCTGGGTTCAAGCGGGAGCCTCAGCCTCAGCCTCCCGAGTAGCTGGGATTACAGAAGCCCACCACCCTGGCCGGCTAATTGTTGTATATTTAATAGATGCAGAGTTTCACCATGTTGGCCAGGCTGGTCTTGAACTCCTGACCTTGTGATCTGCCCGCCTCGGCTTCCCGAAGTTCTGGGATTACAGGTGTGAGCCACTGTGCCTGACTGGCCTTATCAGTTTTTATGTAATTTGTCCTGATTTAAAAAAAAAAATCACATGTGGGTAAACTCAACATATTTTAATTTCTCTTTAGAGAAATCTTTCTTCTTGAGCCAGGTGTGGTGGCTCTTGCCTGTAATCTGAGATACTCAGGAGGCTGAGGTGGGAGGATCACTTGAGCCCAGGAGTTGGAGGCTGCAGTGAGCCATGATTGCGCCATTGCACTCCAGCCTGGACAACAGAGTGAGATCCTGTCTCAAAAATTTTAAAAAGCAATGATTTTTTCTTCGCAAGTCATTCTTTAAAAAAAAAAAAAAAAAGAAACAATCAAAAGTATTTTAACAGAACAATCTGTTCCTGGCTGATTTTCAACAGCCCCCCAGCTAGTATACTGGTTGTCAGTCTCCATGGCCCATCTCCCCACTTTGTTTCCTCGCTGGTTTAAATTTTCAAGTGGACGAGCCCTTTTCAGCTTGACTTGTCCACCTCCCAGGTGTGTTTCCTGAAGATGCTTGTACTTCTGTCTAAGAGCAGCAGCTCCCCACATCTCAGCCACCTGCAATCGTTGAGGGTTGTTGGACTCTAAACTTCTGTAGCTTTCCTGTTTCCTCTTTGCCTTTTGCAAATCAAAGAACCGTGTAAAACCATTTTTATGTGGCTTCAACGTCAACTATAAATTAGCTTGGTTATCTTCTAGGAGAAATGCTATTTATTTTGGAGTAGTAGTAAAAAGGGCTCAAAGGATAAGGAGGCCATTCAGGCCTATTCTGAATCCCTGATGACATCAGCTCCCAAGGGCTCTGTGCTGCAGGAAGCAAAACTGTAGGTGGGTACCAGGTAACACCGTGCGCCTCCCTGCCCCCTCCCACATCAAGCAGAATGCTGGCAGCTTAAAACATTTGGGGTCCGGCTCATTCCTTCAGCCTCAACTTCACCTGGAGTGTCTATAGTCTGAAGATGTATATTTGTGTATTTTGCTTTTAGAGAAACTGCCCTTCCTATGTTCTGAGTGCATAGCAGTTTTTTGATCCCAGAGGGCAAATTGTGTTCTGTGGGCTGGTGCCTATTTGCAAGTCACTTTAGAAAGGCAGGAGCAAGGCTTAGGCCTGCTGCTTCTGGAATCTCTTGTGCAATAGACTTCCCTGGGGAAGTCTGCTAGAAATGCAGATCCCTGGGCAACCTTCTAGCCTTCTGAAATAGAATCTTGCTGGGACCCAGGAATCTGTATTTTAATGGACCCTAATGAGATTCTGATGTAGAAACATGTTTGAGAAACATTGATCTAAATCTGGGATGACTGGCCAGGTGCAGTGGCTCACACCTGTAATCCAGCAGTTTGGGAGGCCAAAGTGGGTGGATCATTTGAGGTCAGGAGTTCGAGACCAGCCTGGCCAACATGGTGAAACCCTGTCTCTACTAAAAATACAAAAAAATTAGCTGGGCGTGGTGGCGCATGCCTGTAATCCCAGCTACTCGGGAGGCTGAGGCAGGAGAATCGCTTGAACCTGGGAGATGGAGGTTGCAGTGAGCCAAGATCATGCCACTGCACTCCAGCCTCAGTGACAGAGCAAGACTCCGTCTCAAAAAAATACAACTAAAATAAATAAATAAATAAATAAATCTGGGATGATTGACCAAGAACAAAGAATGTAGGCATCAATTGAACACCAATTGTATACTTAGGACTGGATCTGAGGGTAGGATTGCCAGATTGAGCACAAACGAACAAACGGAACACAAGAAACAACAGAAGGGTGCCTGTTAAATATGAATTTTTGGTACGCAATAAATAATTTTTATTGTGTCCGTGCAATGATAGGACGCACGTATCCTGAAAACCTATCTGTTGTTCACCTGAAATTCACATTTAACTAGGCATCCTGATTTTATGTGGCCACCCTATCTGCCGGGGAAGTAGGCTGATGCCCCTGGGGGTTCTCCATTTCCTTGGCCAGGTTTCTGTAGGGCTGAGGTCGTGGGGGAGCCGTGGCCAGGGATGGTGTCCTTGCCAGGGGAGGAGACGGGCAGAGCTGCAGGCCCTATAGCTTGGGGTTGGGCAGGGATGAATCGCTCTAAAGTGGTGCCTCTGATGATAGCTGTTATTTTAGTTTCTGAAAAATATGCTGCCCTCAAGAGCTTCTGAGGCTGGGCCTACTTGGGTGAAAATAGCTTTCCAGGCAGCCACGCTGTGGGGACATGAAGCAGCAGCCCCACTCTTTGGGGCCACTTGGCTGTCTCTAGCTCATCTCACTTGCCAGGGCTGGACAAGGAAATGAAAAAGAAAATGCCAAGGGGTGGGCAGGAGCCTGTTGGCATTGGCAGGCGCTGCCAGCCCCGTGTCCCACTCACGCTCTGGGGTGCCTTCCTGTCCATCTGGGAGTAGGGGGCAGGGTCTGACCGTGTTGGGGTGGAGTGTTAATATTTGGAGAGGAACCTCCCCGGGACAGGGTCCCCAGGCTTTGCAGACAAGGCCTTCTGGCCGGGCCCCCCTTCCCTTCCTCTCTCCCAGGATTCCTCCAGGACACTGTTGTGCTGTGCACTGTTTGGCCCCCTCGGTGTCCCTGTTCCTTCCAGCCACTGCTCCCTTCTGCAGAAACTTGCCTGGGATTCCCAGGGTACAGGGGTGGGGGCTGGTCAGGGCCTGGTCAGTATAGAGCAGGGAGCTTTTCACTTTTAGCACAGATAGAGGGGCCAGGGCCCCATGGCTGCACCTCCCTGGACATAACCAGGATGTCCTGTCACCCACCCCCCAAACAAAACTGGGGTCTCCCCTTTATTTTGCCAACAGAATCCAATTTTTAGGTGATGAGACAAGTGTTTGACTTAAAAAGACCCTCCTGCCCAGCCTTCTGGAAGGTCTCGAGCCCAGCCCAGCACCCTGGATGCCCTTGGCATGTGAAAGGGGGAATGCAGTGTCCTCCAGTGGCCAGCTTCAGCTTGGAGTGGGCACCTGGGTGGTGGCCAGTGGTTCCCCTGCAGGCCACTGCTGTCCCCTCTTGGGTCCTGTTCTGAGTCTCAGGCCTGAGTCCCTGGGTACCTGGGTATGGGGTGGCCCTGAGGGGCTGCCTTGCTTGGGAGCAGGGGGAGAAAGGATATTTTTATATAAATAAGGAAAAGACAGTCCCTCTGGGCAGATGAGGCCTGCTGTAGGCCAGGGGGCTTGGTAAACTGTGTCCACTGGTCTGCACCCCTTCAGCTGGATCCTTTTGTGCAGTGAACGGCCTGGACAACTGTCCGGATGGCCCTTCAGGGATATGTTCCTGGACCTTTCTTAGCTTCTCACTGACCTTTCTCCCACTCCAAGTCTGTGTTCCTCAGTCAAACAAGTGTCAGGGAGGAGGAGGAGGAGAGGGAGGAGGAGGAACCTGCTTCACTCTCCGGCACCTGGGGGCGTTGTTCCACACGTCTTCCTTGGGAAAGACCAGGGTTCTATACAACCTGGGGGCGGTTCCCCTTGCTACCTTTGAGTGAGACTCTCTCAAGTCACGGCTCTTTGGGCCCACACGGCTAAGGTCTAGCCACCTGTGGATGTCCCATGCTGCCTCAGTGGGTGGTGTGGGGGGCGGGGCTGACCTCCCCCATGCCTGGCTCAGTACAGCACACCCTGGCCCTTGTGCCCGCTCTCTGCCCTGAGCAGGAGTTTTATTTTCCTGCCCTTTGGTGAAGCAAGCACGGGTGTGCGGAGGTGGGCAGGGGTTTCCAGCCCCAGCTGCCGGGGTAGGGAGACCTCTGTTGCTCAGGGCAAAGGAGGTGGGGACTTAGCAGGATAAAGGCTCACCCTACACTCTTATCATTAGCATTATCTGTATTTTTAATTTTTAAGTTGAGAAATTTTCTACAACTGTCAAACTAGACAAATGACAGTAGCCAGTTCTCCTCACCCAGACTCAGCCATTGCTAACAGCTGTCAGTGTTGAAGATGGTCAGCATCTCGTGCCCTTGGTTTCACTCGTTCCCTGTGTGGCCCTCGTCCCTCTCCCCATGTCCTGTGCGCCCTGAGTAGCCATTGCCAGGAACTTGGCCTGTGGGTTTGTTTACTCTGAATCTGCATGTGCCCCGCCATGAGCAACAGGTCACTTTTTGAATGTGACCGAAGCTGCATCCTGCCGTGTGTGTTGCTGTGTGGCCGGCTTTCCTCCCTGTCTTCTGTTCATGAGTGCTGTTCAAGCTGAATACCGTCTGTGACGTTGGTTTAAAAATGCAGGCCAGGCGTGGTGGCTCACGCCTGGAATCCCAGCACTTTGGGAGGCTGAGGTGAGAGGATCGCCTGAGCCCAGGAGTTTGAGACCAGCCTGGGCAACATAGTGAGACCTGGTCTCTACAAAAAATAAAAAAATGAGCGGGGCATGGTGGTGGCACGTGTCATTGTCCCAGCCACTCGGGAGGCCAAGGTGGGAGGATCACTTGAGCCCAGGAATTGAAGGCTGTGGTGAGCCATGATGGCACCACCGTACTCCAGCCTGGGCGACAGAGAGAGACGCTGTCTCTAAAAGATAAAAAATAAATCAACACGTGAACATATGTTCTCTTCCTGAGGGACGGAGCTTGCCCTGGTTGTTCCGTGTTGACTGTGCTGCACACAGGCCCCCCCAGCTTGCTCTGCCCCTCACTGTATTAAGCCTCTTTGGGCCTCAGTTTCTCCATCCCTAAAGGAGGTCGGGGAGGCCAGGCAGGTGTTGAGTGAGATGAAGAGGCCCTCTGGGAGGCATTCCAGGAGTCTGTAGGCGACTCCAGCCTCTTCTCCCCTCTGACAGCCTGGTGGCGGGGGTGGTGTCTGTGCTGGGGATGTGGGTACAGGCCTGGGTGGGCGGGGATGAGGGTGGGGTTTGGTGACAGGGCGTGGGTGGTCACCCAGCTTTGCCTTTCTCCACAGGGTCCTGAGGACACCATGAGCCAGCCAGGCCTGGCCACTGGGCCTGACCGGCCCCCCAGCCCCTACACCCCACTTCTCCCGGACTCTCCCAGCGGACAGCCCCCCAGCCCCACAGCCTGAACCTCCCAGCTGCCATGTGCCTGTTGCATACATGCATGCAGGCCTGTGCAGACACTCAGGGACGGAGCTGCTGCTGAAGGGACTTGCAGGGAGAGGCTCGTCGACAAGCACTGTTCTGGAACCTTCTCTCCATGTGGCCCACAGGCCTGACCACAGGGCTGTGGGTACTGTGTCCCCTTCCTTGGGTGAACCTGGCCTGTCCCATTCAGCTGTTGGGCCCAGGCTTCCTCCCCTTCAGGGTGAAACACTGCAGTCCCGGCGTAGTGACTCCCCAGGCAGGACTGGCCGGCTGGGAGTGCTGGCTTCCTGTGCCAAATAGCTGCCAGGCCAGGCAAAGCGCCTTTACACAGGCCTCGGAAAACAACGGGGTGAGCACGAGATGCCCCGTGCAGCTGCCCAAGGCTCCCCACCCACCCTGGCCGGACCTTGATCTCCCCAACGTCTTCACAGGCACTGCATCAGGGTGTCTGCTGCCCGTTTCCTCCAGCCTAAACTGAAATCATCCTACGGACTGAGCCAGCCACTCCCTGGCCGAAGTGGCAGCAGGCTGTGCCCCCGAGCTGCGCCCAACCCCTCACAGGGTCCCTCAGATTTTAGGTGCCCAGGCTGAGGTGAAGAGGCCTTCGGGCCCTGCCTCCCGGGCGCTCCTGGACCCTGGGGCCAGCCTGTGACCCTTTTCTACTGGAAATGAGTTTTATCATCTTTGAAAAATAATTCACTATTGAAGTAATAAACCTTTAAAAAAATTTGATGCTGGCCTCTGTGACAGCCTTGTTTGCTGGGGTTGGGGGAGCAGTGGGGGCCTCTGGGAAGTTCTGGGCTCTTCTTCACTTGGTCAACAGCTCCTTTCTGGTGGCTGCCAAGAGCGTCTCTCCCAGGGCTAGGCTGCTGGCTTACCTTCCTGTTGTTTTTAAATTTCAACCTTGTGCAATGCTGAGTTTCATAGAAATACTGCATGAGTACGCCCTTGTTTGGAAGCAGCAGGCCTGAGTCCCGTCTTCCCCCCTCCCCCGGCCATGCCCACAGCCCCCAGTGCAGATGCCTTTGCCACTTTTGCGTGGGGCCCCTGGATGTGTTTCTGTGTCTTTATCTACAAATCCTGGTGCCCGTGGGACATGCCCCGTGTTGTTCTAGGCCTTTGCTTTTTGCTTATTACATAAATGGTGAAGAAGAGAAGTGGGTAAGAGAACAGCTTGGAGCCATCTAAAAGTTTTCATTTTAAGTGTAGATCATTGCAAAGGATGGAATTTTCTCGGATTGTCATCATCGTTGATGTTTGAATATGAGACCATTTCATCAGTGTTTAAGTGTGCCCTGGATCGAACTAGGACAGGAGAGGATATTCACTGCCAAACATTTCAAGAAATACACGAACAAGCTCTTTTATGATCAGAAATGTTATGCCCCTTTTCCCCTTAAACTTGTATTTCCTTTCTTCTTCCCTCCTAAAGTGTTATCTAAATGATATGTATATTTGATGCTTTTTTTTTTTTTTTTCTTGTGACCATCAAGGGTAAATTCTTTTAGGTCTGGGACTGCCATAACAAAATACCGTCAAGGCCGGGCATGGTGGCACACACCTGTAATCCCAGCCCTGTGGGAGGCCAAGACTGGAGGATTACTTGAGGCCAGGAGTTCAAGACTAGTCTGGGTGAAATGGTGAGACCCTCATCTCTTCAAAAACATACAAAAATTAGCCAGGCATGGTGGTGGGCGCCTGTGGTCCCAACTACTCAGGAGGCTGAGGTAGGAGGATTGTTAGAAGCCAAGAGGTTGAGGCTGCAGTGAGCTGTGATTATGCCACTGCACTCCAGCCTGTGAGACAGAGCAAGACACTGTCTCCAAAAGAAAAAATACCATCAGTAGGTCGCTTAAACCATTTATATTTCTCACAGCTCTGGAGGCTGGAAGTCTGAGACCAGGTTACCAGCAGGGTTGGGTTCTGGTGAGGTGTCTCTTCCCGGCTTGCAGACGGCCGCCTTCTGTGTCCTCACATGGCCTTTCCTCAGTATGGAGCGGGGAAGAGAGAGGGACAGCAAGAGCTCTGTGGTGTCTTTTATAAGGACACTGATGCTGTCGGATCAGGGCCTCATTTAATTATTGTCTTAGAGGCCCCATCTCCAGACACAGCCACACTAGGGGTCAGGGCTTCAATATAGGAATTCTGGGTCAACACAACATTTAGCCTATACCATCTGGATTGCCTTTCAACTCTCAGGACACGATTGGTCAAAACTATATCACTATGTTTTATGTTACATATCAACAAAGCAAAATTTTATAGGAATGCATGTCCTTTTGGTATGCATTTTATATATATTTTTCATTTACAGATTAGAGTTGTGTATGTGTGTACAATTCCATGAATTTTGACACGTGGATAGAGTTGAGTCATTACCCCTACAATCAAGACACAGAACAATTTCATTATTCCCCAAGATTTCCTCGTGCCTTCTCTTTTTTGTTTATTTGTTTTACAGTGGGCTCCCATAATTTTTTTTTTTTAAACAGGGTTTCACTCTGTTGCCCAGGCTGGAGTGCAGTGGTTCAATCTTGACTCACTGCAGCCTACTCATTGCACCTCCCAGGCTCAAGAGAGCCTCCTGACTTAGCCTTCCAAGTAGCTGGGACCACAGATGTGTGCCACCACACCTGGCTAATTTTTTTTGTAGAGATGGGGGTCTGGCTGTGTCGCCCAGGCTGGTCTCGAACTTTTGGCTTCAAGCATTACTCCCACCTCAACCTACCAAAGTGCTGGGATTACAGGCGTGAGCCACTGCACCCAGCCTGTGTCCTGTGCTGCCTTCCTCCCACTTTGTAGGGAAGTCCCTTGCCCCCATGCTTAGCCCTTGGCCACTAGCTATTTTTACCTTTCCAGAATGTTCTAAATGGCATCTACAACCTGTAACCCTCTGAGCCTGGCTTCTTTCACTCAGCACTGTCTCTAGATGCATGCCTGTTGTCGTGTGTAGCAATAGTTCATTTCTTTTTGCTGCTGAGCAGAACTCCATGGGGTGCACACACCAATGATTTTCAGTCGTTCACTTATTGAGGGACATGTAGAGTGGTTCCAGCCTTTGGCAATTGTAGTAGTCGGTTTTCACGCCGCTGATAAAGTCATACCCAAGACTGGGCAACTTTTAAAGAAAAAAGATTTAATGAACTCACAGTTCACATGGCTGGGGAGGCCTCACAATCATGGTGGAAGGCAAAGGAGAAGCAAAGTCATGTCTTACATGGGACCAGACAAGAGAGAATGACAGCCAAGTGAAAGGGGAAACCCCCGATCAGACCATTAGATCTTGTGAGACTTACTCACTACCAGGAGAACAGTATGGGGGAAACCGCCCCTACGATTCTATTATCTCCCACTGGATCCCTCCCACAACATGGGAATTATGGGAACTACAATTCGAGATGAGATTTGGGCGGGGACACAGCCAGACCATATCAGCCACTATGAACAAAGCTGTTGTGAACGTTCATGTCCACATCTGTGTGTGAAGGCATACGTTCATGTCCCTTGGGTGTACACCTCGGAGTGGGGCTGCAGAGTCAAACCGGAGCTCTGCGTTTCACTTAAGGGGGACTGCCAGTTTCATAGTCGCTGTACCAGCCGGCTTTCCCATCAGCTCTGCGTCCTCACCAGCATCTTGGTATTTTCAATTTTAAAAACCTTCAGCCCTTCATAGTGGTTTCTCACTGTGGCTTTTATTTGCTTAGAAATACTTCTTGTCCTGAGATGAGTGGGACTTCCTCTCCACCCGCAATTAATTCATGTATCTGTGAATGACTGTCACGTATTGCTAGAATGAAACCAATTTTTACCATCAATTCTTCGTCGCTGCAAGTGCAGAGAAGCCTTGTTTGCTAAGGAAGTCGGCGGGAGTGGAATTCTCACACTCCTGGTTAGTATGCGAATGTCATGCAGCATCTGTCATTGGAAGCGATTTCCACTCATCTCCCAGCTGACAGGTCCGTTTGACCTTTCTTCACATTTGTAGAAAGCAGCAAAGTGGAAACCACCGGCTTGCAAAAGTGTTTCTTACCCAATCTTTAGACGGGTTCTCGAAACCCGTGTCCGGGAAGTTCCCTCTGACTGGGGCTGGAGGTCAGGCAGGCTTTGCCCGTTGGCTGTAGAGTGGAGGGGTCGGGGGTCTTGTGAGCTGCCTGGGGGACTGGCAAGCAAGTGACAAGATCAGGAGAGAGGCCAGGCCCCGAGGACGGTCCCTTCAAACTCCCTGTGTCTGATCCTCTGGGAAGCTGAGCCCAGCTTTGGTTATTTGATAACCACGATAAGGATTTTGACTTAACCTGCACATGCAACACATCACAGACACTTAACCCTTGCATTCAGGTCTACCTGCTCAGAAGCTCATAAAACAGAAAAAAAGACAGTCCCCAGAAGGCATTCTTTTTTTTTTTTTTTTTTTTTTGAGACAGGGTCTCACTTTGTCACCTAGGCTGGTGCAATCACTGCTCACTGCAGCCTCGACCTCCCAGGCTCAGGCGATCCTCTCACCTCAGCCTCCCAAGTAGCTGGGATTATAGGCCTGTGCCACTACACCCGGCTAATGTTTTGTATTTTTTTTGTAGAGATGGGGTTTTGCCATGTTGCCCAGGCTGGTCTCCAACTCCCAGGCTCAAGCGATCCATCCACCTCGGCCTCCCAAAGTGCTGGGGTAACAGGCATGAGCCACTGCCCTGGCCCTTAAGTCATTCTTGTGTGGTGTGTGTGTGTGTGTGTGTGTGTGTGTGTGTGTGTGTGTGTTCCTGAGGGAATTAGCCTCCTGTGTGTCTCACTGGGTGAACACCTTGCTTCTGAGTGAGGTTTGATTTTTTTTGTAGGGTGTATGTTTGGACACATCCTTGGTCTTAAGCCCAGCCAACGACCTTAGCCAGGGCTCAGGGAGGGGAAGCACCGCCTGCCCCACAGCTGGAGGGCTGTGCTTCGGGACACCCGGTCCAGCTTCAGGGTCTCTGACTCTGAGCATCTTTGACTCTGCGAGACTTTCTTTTCATGCTCTCACTTTAGGCCCCAGCCCCCGCCAGTGACGGGACTCTACTACTTACTATGTTGCTTGAATTTGGCTTACTTTTTTTCTTAAAGAATTTTATTTTAAAAGGAAGGCAGTTATATCTGTGAAATTATGGGTCCTTTGGGCAAGTAATATTTTTCCAGTCTCCATTAAAATAAATACCTAACTACTAAGGATGTTCCTCCCTGTACCTCGAAGCGGCCTGCTACCTGCGATCTCGGCACCATCCCATGATTGTGTCCCATGCGCCCTTCGTCCTGCTTGGCCTGTGTCGCCCCTGCATGGCCTTTCCCCCCTTCTCTGCCTTGTTTAGTCTTCGCCATCATCGAAGGTGCAATTCCAGCCATACCCCCTCCTCCAGGAAGCACCCCTCCCCCATCACTTCTGCTTGCTCTTTTTCCCTGTCTGAGGACTCCTGGGGCACTTTGTATCTCAGTTGATACTAGAATGTTCTAGAATACAAGAAGTCCTAATTCCAGTTGCTGTAACCCCAAACCCCAAGGACCTGCAACATAACCCCGGTACCTGCCCTTGTGCTGGAAACGAATATGCTTAGCCAGGGTAGTTACTTACATTCCTTAGCACTCCTTGGCTCACGCAGACACCCATTCTTTCAACATATTTGGCCACTGCCCACTACGTGCTAGGCGCGGGGGGTGCAATTGTAGACCAGGCAGAGGCGGCCCTTCCTCTCAAACAACTTGACAAT